CTGAAGCAGGGGAACAGTAAAGATGCAAAAACTGCTGTTGTTAGAAGAAATGTGTTAATTTTGAAGATGTGGGCACAAGTTTTAACTGTCAAAAACTCCAGCGAACCAACCCGGATACCCCACCTCCCACCATGCGTGTTCCGGCATCTGTTTGGCCTTTAGTGAACTTTGGTTTGACGTCAGTATTTGCGTTCCGGCAACGTTTGATTTAAAAATTAAGCACTGTTTCCACCCCATACACTCCTGGACCTGAGGGGGTTATAACATACCGAATCTTGTTATAACCAGTTTTATATCATAATATAATAACCAGACACCATCTCATTTACCAAGAAACACCCTTTATTTAGTCCTTGCTCTGGCGGTAAAACGCTTCTGTAGTTTGTGATGTTTGGAGTGAAAAACTGAGCTGTTTGGCCTCCAGTTCAGGTTAACAGATATTAATGTAATAATAATAATTATAAAATAATCATATAACCCTTAACAAGAATTAAACGTTACATGTTCTTGGTGTTTCTAATCATCTCCACCAGGTATCTGCTGTTGGAATCACCTTGTCTGATCACAAGTTATCTCACGATCCACTGAATGGATTTTTATGAAACTCTCAGAAAGTCTCTATTGATTGATCATCTGCATCTGATTAAGTGATACAGGATGGCCGATGACAGTACTAAAGGGGCCATATCAGGGAAAATCCACATTTTGGAGCTTTTTACCATGTGATATTGTTTCCTCATGAAAAAAATACCCAAACTCGTTTTTGGCTGCATTCATGCATTTTCCTGTTTCAGCTGCAAATTTATACTTTTACTTAGACAATTCTGTAAAGCGTCAATGGAGACTCGTCTCGTCATCAGACCTCGCCTGGAAGCTAGTCTCTAGTCTGAAACCTGTCTCCTCCGGCCAGCACAGGACATGTGGCTGAGGCGGCTAGTAGCATGCAGCAGGCTTGGTAGTCAGGTGGTTAGCGTGCTCAGGCGGATGCCTTAACCACTGGACTACTATAGCCAATACAGCATTTGACATGCCTAAGATGCTGTTGTAGGCACATGTTGTTGGAGCAGATGTGGGCGGAGTTTCAGTGAAACAAAGCGTTTTATTTCTGGGTATAAATTCAGGCTGACAAAAAGGACTCGTATTTAAGATAAATGACATCTCAATAGTGCCCGCGGTAACATTTAATCATAATATGTAATATGTAATAGCATGATCTGAAAGCTTTAATAAACTATTTTATAAGCTTCATATGCACAGAGGTGGGCGAGACTCTTAATGTGACGGTGAGCATTTTCCCTGGCGATAGGGGGCAGTAGATACCTAAATCATTGCAAGCAAGCATTATTTTTGTGTTCACTTAAGACGTTGCCAACGGATGGCCATTAGGGTCAAAAATCCCCGGGAGTGCAAACTCCAGCAAAATAACAAGAACATCAGACTCCCTTTCATCACTGGCAGCAAGTGAAGAGGTAAGTGTGTAAGAGAACATGTTAATTTATTAATGGTGAAAGTTTTGTAACCATTTGTTACAAATCAGAAAATGCATTTTGTCCTCACAGGCTTCCGTAGCAGGAAACATGGCATCCAGTATGGCGTCGCCCAGAGACTTAGACCCACTCCCGTGTATTTTAGACCAGATTTTTATTGTTCTATGTTATGAAACTGCCATTACTTTTCAACAACTGTGTATCTTTTAATTCATTTAAAACATTTCGATGGACATTTCCAGAGATTAATGATGAACAATAGGGCTAAACTATCGATCGTCTTTGGACCGAAATAGGGATTTCAAACGGCACGATCACGTGACCGATAAAGCTGCGGTTTTAGCGGTTTTGACTGATCCAGGATCAGTTGTGTAACTTTTTTTTTTTTTACATCTGGGGGTTCCCCGTGTGTTATGGTGGCGGCAAAAGCCAGCGCAGGGGAGGGGGGTGGGGTGTACCGTCCAGAGCCGAGCCCAGCTCCACAGCTGCCAGAGCTGCATGTTCAGGTTATTTCCCTGTTTAATGTCTCCACACACAGCGCTGCTAGAGCCGATAGTAATGCACCGTAGGTGAGCCCGGGACACAGAGAGAGAGGGAGAACGTAGTTGAGTAGGGGAGAGAGACTCCTCCCACATCAGCAGGTTCAGGCTGACTTCTAAAGCTTGGTTTGTGCTTCATCAGCGCGAGAGCAGAGTCGCTCGCACACTTTAGTTGACTGTTCCTTACATAGGAAACGTTTTTCTGATTGGCTTAACGAACTGACCTGTAATGGAATGTTTATTATGTGAAGAACCTTGAGACGACTCTTGTCGTGATTTGGCGCTTTATAAATAAACTTGAATTGAAAGTTGACTTGAAAGCTCAACTTGTCTTTTAAAAATGGTTTGAATGTTTCTGACGGCACACGTTAGCTCAGACAAGCTAAGGTGTCAGGATGCGTGCGTCTCTCTCACGGAGCTGATGTTAGTGAGGAAAAGCTACCAGACGGCTTCAGCCTGCCTTATGCAGGAAAACTGTGTGCTTTTGTTATTTAATACGGTTAAAAGCTGTTTCTACCTACAGATCTCCTCCATGCAGGTTTGCAGTAGAACATGTTTTTATAAAGCTCCTCTAGATAAAAATCACAAGTTGCTTCACAAACACATAAAAAAGATAATAATGGGAGAAAATATTAGTAGCTTTAACTGTTTTTATTGTATGATTAAATAGTAAATATTATTGTGAATGATTTGTTGTACTAGATTAGAATCTAGATCATCTTTTCACTTCATCTACAGGATGGCGTGGCAGGCTAGTGTTGGACCTTTGTTTGCAGAAAATCGTGAATTGAACCAAAATCGCAATTTCTGCTAGAAAAATTTTCGATTCAATATTTTCCTAAAATCGTTCAACCCTAGTAAAAACTACACGTTGTCACTTTAATGTGAAGAATTCAAGGATGTTCTGAGTTCTTCTGTGGACGTGGCTTGCCCAGTCTAAACAAACTTTAGAGGACCAGTACAACACTTTTACCATTTTTTGGTCACACTCCGCTGTGCCTCGCCTCTTCGCGGTTCATTGTATTTGGTCTCTTTTCACTTTACTTGTATTTTATGGCTTTAATGCATAGCGCTTTGGTCAGGGCCTGCTGTTTTCTCAGAGCTTTATAAATAAAGTTTGAATGAAAACATCAGATGTAATTTAAGTTACCTTTTCTCCCTTTCCGCCCTGTTTTCCTTCGGCCCCTGGGTTTCCACGAACTCCCTGCCAGAGAAAGTTTGTTATCATTCTAAGAAGTTTCCTTAAAATAACTAAAACAACCAACCAATCACAAACTTGACATGTATGAGTATTGTTTACAATTAAAACAATGCTTATCTGCTGTGTATATTGCGTAAAACAGTTGCTGTGGGACAGATTAGGACTTTATTATCTGTTATTTATTTCCGATGTGGTTTTAAAGACACCTACAAGAGACCCGACAGGACCTGGAGGACCCTGCTGTCCCGGTTCTCCAACAGGTCCCTGAAAATGAATCAAAAGAGGTAGAAAGTTAAATCTGAGATGAAGAACAATTCTTTGGTAGATTACTAATGCTGCTCAGTAATGGTTCAGATTTCACCTCAAGTCCCGGCAGACCAGAAGGACCCTGGACACCTGGAAGTCCATCCTCACCCTGTGAGGCATGAAATCTGAGTTTCTGAGGGTTTCTGTAGATCTTTGCTCAGATTTTAAAGAACAAATTCACTCGATTTTCAACAGATTTGCAGTGATCTCTAGTCTAATTGAATGCCTCATGAGGAAAAAGCCCTCGCGCTCCTGTTTCAGTACGTGAGCCCATGAAGAGAAGAGCAGAACTTTCCAGGATTTGGAGTCTTATTTCCTGATATCCTCCTCATTGGCTAACAGCAACACAACTCTACCACCGACTCTGCTTGCACTGCAGCACAGATGGTAAATGGCCTGTAATTGATATAGCGCCTTCTAGAGTCCTGGAACCCCCCAAGGCGCTTTACAATACAATCAGTCATTCACCCATTCACACACTGGTGGGGATGAGCTACGATGTAGCCACAGCTGCCCTGGAGCGCACTGACAGAGGCGAGGCTGTCGAGCGCTGGCGCCACCGGTCCCTCCGACCACCACCAGCAGGAAACGTGGGTTAAGTGTCTTGCCCAAGGACACAACGACAGCGACAGACTGAGCGGGGCTCGAACCTGCAACCTTCCGATTACGGGGTGAGCCACCGCCGCCCACAGATGCTTTAGCTAACAAATAACACAAGGCTGAAGGAGTTTTTACATGGAGTTGCTTTAGCTAACAGTTATGCTAATTTTCGGTGTGACATACATCTGACTGGCTTTTCTGAACCAAGCGTTTCCTCGTCTATTTTTTATCACCGGCTAATGCAGGAAATAGAGGTAGAAGACTATTTTCAGGTTTAGACTGCATGTTGCAGTCAGAGTGGCCGATCATATTTAAAAACAATAACAAACAAAAATGGTTTCTTAATGAACTTGCTCTTTAACTATGAATAAAAACAGTTTTAAAAAGGAAAGTTCATCAGAAGTCGTAAGTGTTATATAAAAGTACCCTAACCTGTTTTCCTGCTGGGCCTGGAACTCCTGGCTCTCCTTTTGGTCCCTGTGTTCCGGGTTCTCCTTCAGCTCCCTCTTCTCCCTTTGGTCCAACTTGCCCCACTTTACCCTGCCATCCCAGTGCAACAGAAATCCTGTTTAGTTCCTCTTGTCTGTCCTTTTATAAGCACAACCAATCACGTCGTAGAAGTGTTGACAGATACCAGGAGACACTTACAGGAAGTCCTGGTCTGCCAGGATCCCCTCTCACACCACGTGGTCCATCTTCTCCCTGTGAGAAGAAGAACAGAAAACTGAATATTTGGATTTCAGCTGTCCACGGATGCTGTTTCTAACAACGTTTACCTGAAAGCCCTCTGACCCTGGTGGTCCAGCGATACCCATCGGGCCAGAATCCCCCTACAGACAAACAGATCAGAACAATTTATTTCTTATTCATTTGAAGTCAGCTGGTTTCTTTTTCTCTGTGTGACTTGGGTACAACTCTCCAGTGTTTTAGTTTGGGTGAGCCCTGGGGTTTCCGTGCACGTCCCAGCAACCAGAAGGCACCGTGGTCACCACAGTTCACCTCTCCTGGTTCCTTTTGATGAAGAGGAGCAGCGGCTCCAAGCTCCCCCTGGATGGCAGCCTGTTAAATATGTGCCTGGGCCCCGCCTCTTTCCTTCAGTCATGGTCCAGATCTCAACCCCCAGTGAGTCGTGGCGGATGACTGCTCATACTGAGCCGGGTTCTGTTGGACGTTCCTTCCTGTTAAAGGGAAGTGTTCCTCTCCACTGTCGCTTCATGCTTGCTTAGTGTGCGGACTGCTGTAAAGTCACTGATACAAGTCAGTGACTTGATGCAATCTGCTGAACTTCCTTACATAGGAATCTTTCATCTAGTTGGCATAATGAACTGAACTCAGTACACTGATGAGTCGGTTCAACTGGAACGTTTACTTTGTGAAGTGCCTTGAGACAATGTGGCGCAGTAGACAGCGGCAGCTCAGGAGGTAGCGCGGGTGGTCCAGTAATCGGCTGTTGTGTCCTTGGGCAAGACACTTAAGCCACGTTGCCTGCTGGTGGTGGTCGGAGGGACCGGCGGTGCCAGTGTTCAGCAGCCTCGCCTCTGTCAGTGCGCCCCAGGGCAGCTGTGGCTACATCGTAGCTCATCATCACCGTTGTGTGAATGACTGACTGTGTTGTGAAGCGCCTTGGGGGGGTTGTAGAACCCAAAGAAGGCACTATACAAATTCAGACCCCCCTCCTCGGAGAGCCCTGGGGCTCTATGACAGAAGTGAGGTTGCCGTGCACTGGCGCCACCAGACCCTCCAACCAACACCGGCAGGCAAGGAGTCTTGCCCAAGGACACAACAACAGCGACAATCTGAGCGGGGTTCAAACCTGCAACCTTCCGATTATGGCGTGAAAACTTAACTCCTCTGCCACCGTCGCCCTTTGATGAACACAGAAAAATTCCATAATTTCTGGACAACATGCCATTAATTCTTTTTCACACACGTTGAACTCTTTGGCTGAAACAACGCCGCGGCTAGGCAGCGACACGAACACGGGCGTATAAGAGAAATGACTTTGCGCTCATTAAAGACAGCTCATGTAAAGAAGTAGTCAAATTTAACCACGAAATGATGGTACACTTATGTAAAAACAAAGGCCAGCTTAAAGGTAACTAGATGGCATTTATGACACCAACAACAAAACACTTTAAATACCTTTGTTCCTCCAGGCCCATCAGGCCCTGGAGGTCCTCGAGGACCTTCGATTCCCTAAAACAGGCCCAAAAAAAAAATAAATAAACGGTGAATATAGCAGGCTGGATTGTTACATATAAGCTGTGATGCGTTTACTCACCTGGAGCCCCGGCAGGCCCGCTGGACCCTCTTTACCCACTAGTCCAGGTTCACCCTGTTCAACAAGACAACATTAAACTTTGATGAGTTTGTCACCAAAATCTGATTCTACTCAGTTTTCCCAGACTGCTTCATTGAAAATCTACCAAACCACAATGAGATAAGAGACGTCTGTGCTCACCAACAACCCAATGTGGCCCTTTCCCCCTTTGGGACCCTGGATGCCGTTTCCTCCAATGGCTCCCCACACGCCTTCTGGGCCAGACAGACCAGGAGGTCCGACATCCCCCTGCACACTCAGACACATCCTGATCAGATACCTCTCCAGAAATTATTTAAAATAAATCATGTTTCCATCAGCTCACATGGACGGGTTTACCTTCTCTCCTTTGGGTCCAGGACCACCAAGTTCACCAGGACGCCCGACTTCCCCCTGCACAACATCAGAGAACCAACCACATTTGGAAAAATTATTTTTGGGGTTTTCATGCAAACACTAAAAGAGTTGGAAGGAACTTCTTCTGCTGGACCTGGTCTGTTTTGTAGATAGACTGCTAACTGAAATTAAAATCACCAGGAACCTGACTTCAAAACTCTCATCACTACTTCATTGTTTAACGTCAGTCATGGTTCCTGACCCACAAATGATCCTCCAAAATCCCGTGTGGGATCATCTTTGAGTGAAGGGGATGTGAACGTTTCCCACCTCTTTTCCGACTGGTCCACGTAGTCCCAGTGGGCCTTTGGTGCCCTCCAGTCCTCTCTCTCCCTTGGGTCCCTGAACTCCAGATTTCCCAGAAGGCCCCAAGACTCCCTGTCAAACATGATGATGTCAGAGGAAAATCAGTGGCAGATACTCATCTGTAGATTTGAGGTCTAAAACGCTGTCTGATAAAAGATCTACGTTTGTTGTCACTGTAAAGTGTTCAAAGCACTCAAATTTTAACCTATTTTGCTTTCCACACTCATTATGACCCATTTGGTTTTCCATAAATAACCTATTGTGCGTTTGGCTCAGATTTCTAATTCAACTGATCACGTGGGTCCACCATAGTGGACGTCTACACGAACTACATGAGTATGGAACGGAGGGCAAAAGTGGAAACTGGATCGTTCTTTGGCCGGCGTCCGCTGGTTCAAGCCCAGTTGGGAAGGTTCATCACGACGAGGTGGGGCTCACAGAGAGCAGTATTTACACACGTTAGCCTACGATCTCCCTGCTGCTGTTCACCGACGTAAACAAGTTGCCAACTTTGCCAGAATTCACCCCGCTGCATTTATGACATCATGTGATGTTTACATTACGCTGTAGCCCAACCAGGTTTTGTCGCTGATGGGGTCACAGGGTTCAGCTGGTACGCTCACATCAGGGTGAGATACACGCTTCATGCTAAATAACGGAATTTTCACACACGTACTCCTACAGTGGAACAATATAATAAATAATTATCTTATCACTATAGTGCACGGTAACACACGTTATCCACACCTTCATCTCCTCACGCTTAGACTACTGTAACTCTCTTTTCACGTGTCTGAGCAGAACCTCCCTGAACCGTCTACAGGTGGTTCAGAACGCCTGTGCTCGGCTTCTGACCAAGTCCTCCAAACACACCCACATCACCCCGCTTCTCCTCCAGCTTCACTGGCTGCCAGTCAACTTCAGGGTTCATTTCAAGATCCTGGTTCTGGTCTATAGGGCCTTACATGGACAAGCACCATCTTACATTGGTGATCTTCTTAGTCCCTACACCCCCAGCAGGTCCCTGAGGTCCAGTGACCAAAGCCTACTGGTTGTGCAGCACCAGGCTAAAGGTCAAAGGTGACGGATCATCTGCTGCTGTGGCCCCCAGACTCTGGACCTCTCTCCCCCTGAGCCTGAGATCAGTGGACTCAGTGGTCTCCTTTAAAAAGCAGCTGAAGACTCACTTGTTCAAGCTGGCTTTTGTATGACCTTCTTCACCTCTCTCTCTTTATTCTGCTCTCCCCACCTATTCCACCTTCCTCAGGATCCACTGGTTTCCCTCTTTCCTGTTCACTCTCTCTCTTTCTTAACATTTTTAATCACAATTGTCTATTTTTTGCTCATTTTAAATATATTTTAATCATTTTCTAAATTCTTTATATTTAACTTTTTTTTGTTTTTGTGAAGCGCCTCGTGATTTTTATCTTGAGAGGCGCTATAGAAATGATCTTTTCTTCTTCTTCCAAAGTGAAATATAGGATTATTCATGCTAAATAAGTAATATAAACACATCACATTTTTCATTTCGGGTCCACGTCTTCCTCACAACATACACCACGCACAGCCCAAAAACGAAGTCACCACCAAACAAAAAGGTCACACCTGTAATATTTCGTAGGACCGCCTTTAGCTTTGGTTACGACACACATTCGCTGTGGCGTTGTTTCGATAAGCTTCACCAGATTTGTTTGCGTCCAGAGTTGCATTAACGTTTCACCCAGATCTTGCACTGATGATGGTAGAGTGTGACCGCTGCACAAAGCCTTCTCCAGCACATCCTAAAGATTCTCCATGGGGTTAAGGTTAGGAATGTGGCCGTGCCATCAGGGAAGATGGAATAACCTGGTCATTCAGGATATTCAGGAAGTCAGCTGACCTCATTCTTGGAGAACATCCTGTTGCTGAACCTAGACCTGACCAACAGCAGCAAGCCCAGATCATAGCACTGCCCCCACAGGCTTGTACAGCAGGCACTAGGCATGATGGTGCATCACTTCATCTGCCTCTCTTCTTACCCTGATGCGCCATCACTCTGGAACAGGGTCCATCTGGACTCTTTAGACCAGTTTTAATGATGCGTTGGACCAGTCTTAACCCAGTTTTAGTCGTTTCTGCATCTCCTTAGATGTTTTCTCTGCTTGATGCCAAAGATCTGACCCTTCTCACACAAACTAACATCTTTTCGACGACCACCAGACGTGTCGCAAATGTGTTGGCTGCTGCGGTCCATCCCGTCCTCTGTCTCCATCAAAGTCATACGATAAAAGATGAGTAGAGTTTGCATCCTTGTCTGTTCGTGCAGCAAACAATTACCATTTTATGGTAAATAAATGAGACATATGGCTACACAGTGGCTTATTTTGACTAGCTTCACATGAGCTTCCATGTGCATAAACAGTTTTTCTGCTGTCTGTCATGGCTAAGGTGGCGGTCCCATCAACGGCAGGAGGTCAGGTGCAAACTGTCAACTTGTGATCCTATCTGGCTTTATGTTCACAAACTATGACCAATTGGGCTTTCCATAAACATTTGACCTTCCACACCCAACTTCCACAATTAGGATCCACACATTTTGCACAATTTTGCTTTCCACATCCTAAGATTAATCTCATCTGGGTGTCCAATCAAAAGTGATGATGTTTTTGACTTTCCATTTAGAAAATATAACCACTTTGTTTTCTGAATTTAAATTATGACCCATTTGCCTTCCCACACAAAATATGACATTTGATTTTGAAGTCCATCCTGACTCGATGTGACCTGCACACAGTTATCCACGCATTTGTGATCTCTCACTTGGATTATGTGAATTCCCTTTTGTATGGATCTCCATCTTCCTCAGTTGCGCGCCTGCAGCAGGTGCAAAATGAGGCGGCCCGCCTTTTGATGGACACCAGATGGAGGGAGCACATTACTCCTGTTCTGGCCCAGCTGCACTGGCTCCCAGTGCGCTACAGCATCCAGTTTAAAATTTTAGTTCTTGTTTTTAAGTCACTCAGCTGGTTCAACCCTACGTACCTGGTCGTAGCCTTGTACTATGTCTCTGTTTTGTTTATTGTTGATTTTATAGTAGTTACTGTACTACTTTTATTACTTTCTTCCCGTGTGCTGACTTTTATGCTCTTTTACTGTGCAGCGCTTTGGTTGGCCGTGTAGAAATGTGCTTTATAGATAAAATGGAATTAATGGAATGGAATTTTCCATCGTCAAATTATGATCCTATCTGGTTTTCACTCACATTATTCCCCACGTGGCTTTCCATACTTAAACTCCTGGCACCTGCCTGTTACCAACTCAAACGTCTCGCCTGTGATGGCTGGATCTCATGCATATTCAAATTTGGATCTCTAAAAATTACAGCTTTTGATGGCGCGAGGCTGCCGTTTCTGAGCAGGTTAAAAAAACATTTCTGTACATTAATCTGGCCTTTTAACCCTCCCACTGTCTTCATGGGTGACCCCGCAATGAAAGAGTACCGTTGAGCAGCACTGATGGTTTATCCCTTGAGGTCCACGTGGAAGGGGTGAGGAGTGAGCACCTCCTCAGTGGGAGGGTTACAAATAAACACACTTGAATGTGCTTTCACATAAAACAGCCTTTTGTGGTTTATAAAATCAGGCAGCTTGAGGAAAATCTTGTTTGCATTAAGAGAAAATAACTGATGACTAACCAGATCTCCTTTCCTTCCAGCTGGACCCTCGGTCCCTCGTGGGCCAGAAAGACCCTGATGGAGGAGAAACCAACCCGTCACGTTCACACAACATCACAGCAGCAGCAGACGAACATGCTAGAACTTTTCTTTTTAGTTATGCTCATTCTTATTTCATAGGTTTCTTCAGGAGTTTAGCTCTTATATCTTAATAATTAACAAAAAAACAAAAATGACACATAAAGACATGAATATTCTAGTTTATGGTTCATTAAACAGCTGCTTTCAAGTAAAGCTAATCAGACTGGGCCTGTCTTTAATAACTATAAACAATTAAAAATGTCTTTTCTGTTTTATTTCATCTTAATAAATTTGAAGGAGGATAAATAAAAAGCCCAAATCGAACTGAGATCACACATTTACATGTCAACTGAATATGGACACGTGCATTTTATTTTGAAATTAGAGCCATCATTAAAGAAAATAAAAGCTTGTCTGCATTTGAATAAAAGTGACCAACCTGCAGTCCATCTGATCCTGGTGGACCTGTGTCTCCTGGTGGTCCAGGTAAGCCCTGAAGGTTTAATCATCTCGTCAGTTACACAACAGAAATAAAACATTTTCTTTAGAAAGGTTATTCTTTCTTTCTTTTTTTTACCTTCTGTCCTTTTCCTCCCGCTGCTCCTGATAACCCGTCATCACCTGGTGAGCCCTGACGAGAACCAGAAATTTGGACTTTCTTTTTACTCATTTTACAAATTTGTATTTAAAAATTTCTAAGAGTGAATTCATCCGCCGGTTTATAATTAGGATAAAACGGCAGCCTGCGTTAGGCACCCACTCACTGGGATTCCTGCCGACCCCTGTGGACCCGGAGGTCCTGGAGGCCCGATGACTCCTCTGGGTCCTGGTTTACCCGGACCACCATTTGGACCAGGAGGACCAGCAGGGCCCTGAAGGCAACATCAGATATTTGTGTTTCATTAACAGTTTATTTATTCAGGATTTCTCTTTGATAAAAGTCGTGTTTTTGTAACAATAAAGCAAAACTGTATGTTGTTTATTTTCAAAGTACTTTAGAAACGACTAAACAGATAAAAGAATAAACAGTATTTATGTTAAACAAAGCTTAAAGGGACTTTATGGACTTTTGAATTTTTATGCTCGTGATTGCCCCCTCAGGCCAAAAGTGTAACGGCAGCTTCAATAGTAGGCTCGTGCACGAGGCGCGCATGCTGTACGTGCACACTCCTCAATGAAAATAACAGCTGAGACAGTCCTGTGTGTGTGTGTGTGTGTGTGTGTGTGTGTGTGTGTGTGTGTGTGTGTGTGTGTGTGTGTGTGTGTGTGTGTGGCCCGGAGGACAGAGGACAGGAGAACGAGCAGCTAATTAATTAAATAATGTGGTTCTGTAGCTTTCTCTTCAGCACAGCCGACAAAGGTTTATGATGGGTCAGTCCTCCTGCATGCTCAGATCATTCCCTTCCCTTGCTTGAAAAATTGTTCCAAAATGAAAGTTGAACCCACATCTTTTTTATCTGTGAATTCAATGCCGTTCGGCGAGTCTCAAATACAAATTTGGGCAACTTACTGAGCTGTGGTGGCCTCATGGAGGGGGCCATCGTCTAGCACACTGCTGCTAACCACTTAAACATTCTCCCTCTCCTGATAATAACTTTTTGATTTCCTTGACGTTGGATGTGCTACTACTAGTTTACCCGTTTAATTATAGATTCACTAGGATAAATACAATAAAGGTTATCACTCACCTAATACAATATTTACTAAGACATCACAATATAACTATAGACACATTACTTGTCTTTGTGTGTGTGTGTGTGTGTGTGTGTGTGTGTGTGTGTGTGTGTGTGTGCGCGTGTGTGTGTGTGTGTGTGTGTGTGTGTGTGTGTGTGTGTGTGTGTGTGTGTGTGTGTGTGTGTGTGTGTGTGTGTGTGTGTGTGTGTGTGTGTGTGTGTGTGTGTGTGTGTGTGTGTGTGTGTGTGTGTGTGTGTGTGTGTGTGTGTGTGTGTGTGTGTGTGTGTGCTCTGTCTTCTCCATCCCCAGTGAGTCGTGGAGGATGGCTGCTTATACTGAGCCAGGATCCTCTGGAGGTTTCTTCCTGTTAAAAGGGAGTTTTCCTCTCCACTGTCGCTTTATGCTTGCTTAGTATGAGGATTGCTGTATAGTCACTGACACTAGTCAGTGACTTGGTGCAATTTGCTGGGTTCCTTATATAGGAAACATTATTTCTGATTGGCTTAATGAACTGACCTGAATTGGAATGTTTATTATGTGAAGTGCCTTGAGACGACTCTTGTCGTGATTTGGCGCTTTATAAATAAACTTGGATTGAATTGAATTAATGTAAAACAGAAACTCTAAATAAATTATGTTCACATCCAGAATCAAACCCAGGTCTTCAGCATGAGAGTCAGACATCTTACTAGGTGAGCTACACTCTAGTAACATTCACAGTATCTGTAACATTTATATCCTTGATGACAGCTGAAACAACGTCAAACCAAAGAACGGTTGGGAGTGAAAATGGCTATTTTGTTCAATCAATCAAAGCTTTATTTATAAAGCGCCTTCCGCAACCCTGTCAGGAAGCCCAAAGCGCTGAACATTGTACAGTTGTATGTAAATATATTGAATAAATCAACAATAAAAGAAATTCAAATTACAAAATACAAATTACAAAATACAAAATGGAATTTACAAGATAAATGAAACATTCTGGTAAAGGACAAATGTGTGAAACACATTTGGATTGAGTATACCAATGAAAACTGTGGAATGGATTCAACATAAAAGAGGGCCAAAATCAAACATGTTCTGGAAACGCCAAGCGGAGGAGGTGTGTTTTTAGGTGATTCTTAAAGACTGGCAGAGAAGGGGACAGCCTAACTGAGGGTGGCAACTGGTTCCAGAGTGACGGTGCTAGGACTGAGAAAGCCCGGTCCCCACGGGTACGACACCTAGACCGAGGGACAGCGAGCAGGCCTTTTGTTGCTAATTAGCAGGAAATATCTAGAAGAAAGTTCTACAGAAAGTAGCTAAGGGTCCTCAGAAACGTAGCTTTGTCACTAGGCGTTAGGAACAGCGACAAAGTGGCACTGCCTCTCTCTCTGCTGCTAAAGCTACGGATAGCAAATGCTACGGGCGATGCCCGAGCGTGAACGCGCATGAAGCAGCCTGCTCGACCTGAGCATCTCTCTTTTTCTGTGATTTTACAGAAAAACAGGCAATCACAGTAAAAATGCCAGGGCTCATTCTACAGGACCAGGGCATTGCAGGAGAACGTATGAAGAAGACATTTATTATTTCTATACATGTTTTGGCTGTCACACTTCCATAATGCCCCTTTAATGAAGTGACCTTATATGGTTCATTTCCTGTTTGAAGGGTAAATAAATCCAAAATGAGTTTTGAGAACAAACAAATTTAAACAAACTAATAAAATAATACAGAATGAAAGAGTTTGTTTGCCCACCGAGTTAATAAGTACATCATTATAACTATTATTTTCACCATTTCCTGCTTTTCGTTGGGCTTCTGAAATACATCTGATGAGTGGAAATTTCATCTTCTATCGTTTCTGTCTGACTCTAAAATTCATCATTTCATTCAATATCAGTGTTAAAACAGCCTCATATGCTTCTTACCGTTCTGCAGTTCAGACTTCTCAGTCTTTTTAAAAAATAAGCTCCACATTATTCTGAGCAAACGTGATGAAAACAGCGGCTGTAACAGAAATTCATTCTCATTTTCAGCATCGATGGAGCAAAACAAGCAGAGACGAACTCTCATTAAAGGTTTAGATGAAACCAACAGGTGTGTCGGGAACACGAGAATCCATTTCAGTTCACTTTAGCTGATGGTTCACTGATAAAACATCCGTTCTTATGTTCACCTTCACATAAGTCCTATCTCAGGTTTCTGATCCCTCACCATACATTTTAACAATTAACTTAAAATTTTAAGTTGAGCCTCAAAAGATGATTCAATTACGTGAAAGTTTTAGATGATCAAGTAAAGTGTTACCTTAAAAATGTGTCTGTACATAGGATGATTCAGTTCTTCCCTTCTAGGGTTCTACAACCCCCCAAGGCACTTAACAACACAATCATTCACATGCTGGTGATGATGAGCTACGATGTAGCTGCCCTGGGGTGCACTGATGGAGGCGAGGGTGTCGAACACTGGTCCCTCTGACCACCACCAGCGGGCAAGGGGGGTTAAGTGTCTTGCTGAAGGACACAACAGCAGCATTCTCTGGTGGGAGCCGGGATTGAACCTGCAACCTTCTGAAAGCTGGACAACTTGCTCTACCTCCTGAGCTGCTCTGTCCATTTGTAGAAAACTAGTCAAATAATTAATTTGGTGATATATAAATAAAGAACTATGTTGTACTGAAATGTCTGAAAATGTGCAAGAATAACAATTTATGACTGAAATCAACCTAGCGTAAAACCCGGCGCTAATCATTTCTAGCTATGAGTTAAATCCGTGGGAATCTGTGTGCATATATCATCACGTCGCTTCATTTCTGTTCAAATTCACAAAATGAACTTCCACCAGCAGCTCAGTCTCCTATCAGGGCTCTTCTGCTGCAGGAGGCAACCAACGCCCAAATGGACATTTTATTTTTGTTCATCTAAAAACGACTCACTTCCTGTCACGTTTGATCAAAGGGACTAAAGAGCCATGCTGGGCTCCAGAACCACAGGTTGGGGAACCTGACCCATCATAAACACGTGACACAGCTGATTACTTACCTGTGGGCCGTGGATCCCTTTAGGTCCTACAGCTCCTAGCCAACCCTTTTGGAAACAAGATAATAAAAACATAATTAGTGAATTAAGAAGTGTAGTCATCAGCTGGAGTCAAATCAGCAAAGTTAAACTGAGACAAACACAACTTCAGTTTCCAGAAATGTGATCAAAAGAACAGGAAAGCTTCACTAATCTGACCGAGAGCCTAAATAAGATTAGGCCCGTTCATACCGACACCATTTTTAAATTACGGCATTAGAGAACGCAAACTGTAAAAAAGTCTCATTAAGGAGCCCGCCCCTGCTTTGAGGGCACCCTCATATCATGGTTTTGGGGTCATCACCCCACCGTTGCCTTTCTAAGTGTTTCGGGTTACCATAGCAATGTTACTAGAGGAAAACAGCAAACATGCCTCGCTGGGTCAGCTGACGGGCTTCAAACTTTCTTCAGGAAATTTTTTAGTTTAAACAAATGTGCAAAATATGAGATCTTTCTCACCTGAGGTCCTCGGGGTCCCTTTTCTCCAGAAGAACCTGGAGGACCCTAAAGTGAATGAATTAATGAAAGATCAACATGTCCGGGAATCTTTGTCACGTAATTTCTTACATTTTTACACTGGGAAGAATAAATCTTGATTGAGTGTTTGTTCCTTTGAGATGGACACAGCAGTTACGTTGGACAAACCAGATGCTTTGTTTCAGTGTGTTAGCACAGGTGCTCATTTGCAACACTTGTCCATACGCACCTTTTCTTAAAGGTAGAACACATTTGAACAAGATACAGACAAATCAAAATAAATCAAAGAAAAACAGATCAAAATTACAAACAATTACCAAAAATAGAAAATAAAAGGCAATTTAAGCAGCAGATTAAACGAGTTTAAAACTATTCACGTGCTGTTTAGACTTTTTGAGTCCTTTGTTAAAAGCTTTACTGTCATTTTCTAATTTTAGCCCCGTGGGTAGGGAGCTCCACAGTTTGGCCCCTTCTACAGAAAGAGCAGACTGGCCAAAAGAAGTCTTGCTCCAAGGGATGAGACAATCACCACGAGTGGAGGCACGTGTGATCTCTCTATGAGAGCTCTGACGCCTGATGCCACAGCAGAGGACAGTACAGACAAGTTATTATTCAGACATTTGAAAAAGAATCTTAAAGTGCTAAAATTAATAAAGTTTTCGAAAGTGGGAAGGTCATGTTTCCTTAAAATGCGACAGTGATGCCATTTCAGTGGTTTCTGATCCAAATCTCCCAGGACTGTGGTATGATGGTGTTACATCAAGGACTAGCACTTCCCAAGCAGAGAGCTCACAGACTGAGAACAGAAAGCTGTTTCTGCCCCGACCGTTTTGGGTGTGATACAAGCTAAGCCTGATCCTTCGTGTGTGTTTGTAACAATAAAGTTAGTAACTGTAACAGAATGAAATGACTGTTTTCCACCAAAAGTCCTTCTCCCCCTCTCCTCTGACACAGAACTAGTCTGCATGAGATATGGCCTCAAGGTCTCATGCATTTGCTTCTAACCGGCTTCTTTCCAGCTCAAGAGAAGAACGAAGAAAGGACTCTCTCCTTTTAATAAATCAAAGAACTCTATTTTAATAAAGCTAATCAAACAAAGTGTTAGTCAATAATAAGATGTGACCAATCTGTGAAATCAAAATATTAATTACTTTATTACAATCCTATAGAATATAATAAGTAATATGACTTTAAATGTTTCCACTAGGACTGATCTCACGTAGTCTTAAGACATGACACATTGCTTTACTGATCCAATCAGAATCTGCCAGATCTGACAGAGGCGTGGCTTTGGTGGTGTTTGGTAAACCTGTCAACTACACACTAGACTGATCACATGTAATGTTAATCACATGACACACTCCTTTGTCTCTCCAATCTGAGCTTTCCTTTCTGACGCGTGGCATGATCTGTGCGTGTTTATATTTGTTGTCCAATTCTGATTCGACCATAAATCAAAACATCTGAATTATAAAACTAACTCCCACGTCATCCTTAACCAGTTCAAACGTTCTAGAGTTGCGAGCCGGCCACTCCTAAATTTTTAAACACAAAGAACCGAACGACAAGCTGCAAAACAAACCTGTTGCAAGCTCCACCTGACGCAACGCTCCTTCAGAGTAAAAGCTGAACTCACTGACCCTTCAGGGTCCCGCTGACGCTATCAACCACCTGCCGCTTACCTGGGGGCATTCCAAGACTAGTCTGTCGTACCGCACGCTGTTTCATCGGCTTCGGTACCAAAGAGGGGTCGAGAACCTGGCATTCTGGATCTACACGGAGGTCTCCACAAGGGTATGTAGCTCGGTAAGATAGCGTCTGAATGTGGTTTTTGAAACTCCGACTATAGTTTAGAGCAGAACATTCGCGCCCACACAGAACTAACGCTTCTCTGGAAACGAGAGTTCTGATAACAACATTCCACATTTACACCATCCATCGTGCCTCATTCACAACCTAGATCCATTCATCACATAGTGTTGAGTTAAAGTTAGAGTTAGCCTTGTTTTAAATTGTTTAGAAATAAATCTTCTTAAACTTTTAAACTTGTCTCTCTCTCTGTTTTTGACTCTGGGTTAATACGAAGTGTCACCTAATCCCTGCAATAAAAAGTTATGATCTTCTGGTTAAAGGTAGTATTCAAAGATACATCAAATTGATTCCATATTTTCTATGGAATCTCACCTTTGATGGTTTCCTATGTAAGATGTAACTACTGATCCACTACATCACTTAAACATATATTACACAAGGGGAAAGGCACATGGCACATGTCATTAGAGACATCGCCTGTTCTTCACTTTATTAAACAAACTTTGTACAGCTAATGTCAAAATGTAAGACTATGAATTCATTAAGGTTTTAGCTACTGCCGCCTTTTTTCCTAAGGGGTATTTATCCTGAAATCTATTTTTTTTTTTCAGGTGGAAAATAAACTTTTTTTTACTATGTTCCATGTCTACTTAGACTTAATCAGTGACACATATATTAATATTTACACATCTCAAAAAATCCCACAAGAGTTCCATTTAAAATTAGACCTAAATTAATCAAATAGACCTCATGGTTACAGAAATTTACTCCGTTAAGTGTGGGCATGTCAATTTCCAGCAGATGTCTCAAAAAAGACAAAAATAGGGCCCTTAATAGTGCACGTTTGCATAAAGCAGCTAGTTATAAGTCACAACTATTGACTTCTTTTACCATACCATTTTATTTATATAGTGCATTTCAAAACAATCACTCAGAGATCATTTAAGAGCAGGTTAAAAACAGACAATAAATACAGATAAAAATAACCAAAAAAAAAAAAACAATTAAAAGAACGGGAAAAATATATTTCATGGATTCATCGTCCAAACTCCAAATCCTTTAAGTGATTTCTTCAATTGTGACTTGAGGACAGTGACGGCTGTCGAATTGTGATGGGTAGTGCATTCCAGAGGACGTGGGCAGCGTACACAAAGGCCCGCTCCCCCCTTGCCTTATAGTTCTAGCTGGAGTTCAGCATAGCAAGCAGTCGACTGATCTCAGTGTGCGCACCGGTACATAGGGTGTGAGCAGGTGAGACAGGTAGGATCAAGGGGTGCAACATTGTTCAAAGCTTTAAAAACAAAGAGCCAGACCTTAAATCACACCCTGAGAGTCATGGGCAACCAATGGAGATGCTCCAGAACCGGGGTGCTATGGCTATGTCTGTCTGCATGCAGCAGCGTTTTGTACTAACTGCAGCTGGTTCAGGGCAATAACGGTGAATTTGCTCAGTCCAAGCGAGACGTGAGTTACACATCCTAAATGGGACAGTTTCAGAATAGCCTGCAGGCGTGTTAAACGATGAAGTTGACAGAAACAAGATTTCACTACTGCATTTATTTGAGGGACCACCGAAAACCCAACATCCAATTTCACCCCAAGGCTGGTGACACAATGTTTAGGGTCAAAGCCGGGAAGATTTTGGACGGGCGATGTGTGAGAGAGGTTTCCAAGGTCGAAAAGAACCTACTCTGTCTTTGACTAATTCAGTTTGCAGCCAACCACCCCTTCACACCAGCGAGACAATCAGAGACTTGAAAACCCATGTTAGGCCCATCGACAGGTAGATGTGACCATCATCAGCGTAGATGTGATCGCTGACGCCATTCTGGCCAAAATCCTTTCCCAAAGGAAGAAAAGATGGAAAATAGGAGGGGCTCCAGGACAGAACTTCTTTTAAGTCTGTTTTAACAGAAGAATTATGTGGTTGCACTGTTCCACAACAAATTAAATGCTGTTTTTTTTTTCTGTTTTCTCGCGTTAACTTCATACACCTGGCAGGCAGCTGTAAAGAATCAGGTACCGTGACGCCAGACCTCCTCTCTTATCGGATTTAAAGTGACCTTTATTCATCAGCATGGCTGATTTTCACTGTTGTGGTTTTGAGCCACAACGACCCCATCTCTAATTACTTGCGTCTCCTAGTCTGGCTGTGTTGTCGTGTTTTTATTACCTAAATGAGGAGGAAAGCCACAAGAATCTCCTGTAAATAAAAATGACAAAACAGAACAGTTCCCTCGAGATTTCACTTTGAGGTGTCCTAAACAGGCTAGAGGTAAAAACACAACCTCTGATCTCATGTGTTCAATTCATGTTGCTGTAGAACTCGAGAAACCACGAGTCCTTGGAGACCTTCCTTTCCTTTCCTTTAGTGAGCTGCTGTCTCACCTGTGGTCCAACCAGCTTTCCTGCTGTTGCTAGGTTACAAAGAAGATGCATTCATTACAGAAATAAATGAAAGTAAACCACAGGCACTTACTTTAGGCCCTGGCTTGGCAGGAGAACCCGGTAAACCTCTTAAACCAGACTCGCCCTAATGAGAAGTCGGAGGAAGGAGAGAAAAGTTTAGACCCCACACAATCTCCACTAAAACCCACAATATGATCACTTTACATAAAATAAGTCCAACTTACCCTGTCTCCCTGTAAACCTGCAGGTCCACGTGCGCCTGCATTTCCTGGAATACCCTGATGATGGGAAGGTAATGAATTGAGTTTAAGGCATAAAAATAGCGGTGATTCACTTAAGACTGAATTTTATGTCTGCACAAACTAAAATAGGAGCTAATAGCCTCTTCTGCTAATCAAACCATCCTTCAGTGATTAATTCAGGTTGGACAAACACCCGAGGTGCCTTTTAAGAGTTCTTGCATTAATCTGTAACACATTTCCAAACTTTATTCATTTGAATGGCCCAAGTCATTTTAATTTGGGCCTTTTTATGGGCTTTTTTCAAATTCTTCTTCTTTTTCAGTTTGACTTTTTAAGTTTTCCCCATCCTGCCATTATTATAGAAGGTTAGAAAGTATGAATGTCATGTAATGTAACATGAAAGTACGTAATGCTGAAGAATCACTTACATACATGCCTACTGGGCCCTGAGGACCCTCCGTGCCTGGCTTTCCTGTAAAACCCTGAGAGAGAACAACATTTATCTATCCAATCACATCATGGCGATCCACACACACAATAAGTCAAAGCCCCAATGGTCATCATCACGCACTGATGAAATTACATCTCCACATCTGACTCATCCCCATGGGGAGCGGTGAGCTGCAGCTGTGGCTGCACTCGGGAACCATTTGGTGGTTTAACCCTCCAATCCAACCCCTTAAAGTGGAGTCTCAAGCAAGAAGGCATTGGGTCCCATTTTTAAAGTCTTCGGTATGACTCGACCGGGATTTGAAGCCTGATCTCCCAGTCCCAGGGCGGACACTACCACTGAGAAGGTCAAAAAACGTGTCTATAAACATGTCTGCTTAGTTAAGGAGGATTCAGGATCCCGCCCAACCCCGCCTCCCCATCGGACTCTGATGTTTTGTATCTGAGATGTTCGTGCTTCTATGTTGAGGAGTTTTTTGTATAATGGAGTTACTCCCCGCTGGGTCTAACTCTGCGATGCCTTTTCTTACCTTACCCCAATTATCCTCATGTAACACCCTTTTCATCTAATGAAATGAGCGCCGTTCTGGCTGCTCTCGTGACTGCCTGTACCTGTTTTTGTCTACATGTGTGTGTTTTTAACCTTGGTCAGGTTGTGTTCACGGAGTCAAGTTCCTATGCTCTGGGTCGCTGGAGTGCTGGCAATAAAGCTTATTCTGATTCTGATTAAAGGTAGCTATGGCTGCCACTTGTGGTCTCACCTTGTTTCCTGGGGGTCCAGGTGACCCTTGGGGTCCCGTCTTCCCGGAGGGTCCCTGCCAGATTAAAAATATCTGGTCATCAATTGTTTACAATAACAATTATTGCTGTTTTATTAATTATTAGATCAAATTTGATGAAATCTGTTTGCCCACTCACTGTTGGGAGCTAACCGTAGCTAAAGCACATCAACAGTTAGGACGACAGTAATGCTGATGATGCAGGACTGGTTCAAGTGGCTCAGGGGTTAGACATTTGCTCTGTAACTGGTGGGTTGCCTGGACTGACTGTACGCTAATGTTTTAAAGGTCATTTATATCATTTTGATGTATTTATTAAGGCTTTTTATTAAGGCCACCAAGTATTAAATAAATAATTACAATCTGATACGAGACTGTAGTTATCATCTAGCTCAAAAAGCCTAATTGTCTCAAAGCAATCAAACAATAGCAGAAGCTGGTTAGCTAAGCTAGTGGTTAACTAATGGGGCTTTCACATCTGGTCCATATATGCAGTTTCTGCTCTGAGGTGACTCTTTTATTCAGACCTCTGAGGTCTGGCTGGGACCGAGGTGACACTACAGGCTGATTGGCCAGCTGAAATTCACGCCTACCACCTCCGATTGGAGGAATTTTCATTCTAGTTGCTGTGGAGTAAACATCTCTGTCTGCTGCACGAAGCTCCTGCTCCAGCGCAGGGGCAGACAGTGGTAAGGATCAGAGCAGTGTGTGTGTGTGTGTGTGTGTGTGTGTGTGTGTGTGTGTGTGTGTGTGTGTGTGTGTGTGCACGCTTCTCTGACATTTAAATTAGAAAGCATACCGTTGAACCTGGTGGGCCATCTGCTCCTCTCTCTCCAGCGATACCATGAAAGCCCTGAAAATCAGGACAGAAAACAAGAGAAGGAATGAACAGAAGCAGTGAGCGGTTGAACCTCTGGGTTTGAAGTGACTTAGTCATTTATTTATACCCTGTTTAATTGGCATTTAATGGTTTCATGGGCTTTTCCATGAAAGTTTATCACTTCCACTTCCACATGCATGCTGAACGTGAAAATGTCCTTCAATCTCCAACACCTGCAATAGCGGCAGGTGGGAAACCGACGGGAAAACGAGTGAATCCGAAAAGGCCCGACTCTTCTACGTCAGGGGGAAATGTAGCATCCCTGCCCAGCTTGGCTTGGGACCGCCCACAGGAACGACAGAGAAGCGCGCATCACCGCTAGTAGAAGCTAGCCATTAGCATCAGCAGGCGCATGACGTGGGGGAACCTGTTCAGGCTGGTGTTTTTAGTGGAGATAAAACATCAAAGTTGCATTTCTATCCCAGAAAATATGTTTTTGAGCCGCGTTTCTGTTAGCCAATCAGAGGTGAGATGTAACGAATACAGTGATCCCTCGCTACTTCGCGGTTCGTTTATCGCGGATTCACGACTTCGCGGATTTTTTCTTTGGAGCCTTATTCAAGGGAAATTCGCTGATTCGCGGCACTTTTCACTGATTCGCGGTATTTTCTATGCGAAAAATCAAGAAATTCCTGTTTTTTTTTTCATAAATTTCATCATAAAATGCACTTTTTATAATACAACTATTAAAAAAACCTAGTAAAAATACAGTACTATGTAAAGGGAGGGTTTTAAAAGTCTGAATACTGAATACGTACCTGTTAAATAAATACTGTAAATATGGTGTCCCTACTTCACAGACTTTCACCTATCGCGGCCAGGTCTGGAACGCATCTACCGCGATAAACGAGGGATCACCTGTAAATTGAAGCCAGCAGCGGTCTTCTAAACTCTTCAAAAGTTAAAAGCAACAGATTATTGCCCACAGTTTTGAAGTACATTCAACATATTTTCCAAAACAGATTCTTTGCTCTCATCAGCCAAAACCCGAGCACCAACTCGGTAGCGGGGTCTTGTTTTTATGGTTTTTCTTGACCGTTTTATTGCATCAGTAAACTCCTGCATTACATTATCCTGCGCTGCCTTGTAAAATTGTAATAGCGTGTTGTTATTCTGCTGAACCCTGCGACTCGAGCCACATGAGCGATGTCATGGACTTCTGAGGTCATTCTGCGGCTAACAGTCGTACCGTCGATCCCTTAGCGCCAGCGCTGCCATCCGCACCTGACGGACCCTGAAGCAGAAAAAACAAACAGCAACAATGAGATTTTCCTCTGCAGTAAAACCGTGTGAAAAACAGATGATAATATTATTGCGTTGAATCATTCAAATGTTGATACAATTGGGAAATTAAGCAAATGTTGCACAGAAGCAAGCCATATGTAATGTATAAATGGTAAAACTCAGAAGACACAGGACAGAAAACCGCAGCATTTTACTGCTTCCTGCTGTCTAAACCAGTTTTTTCCAGTCCGTTTTCACAGTGTGAGGTCATTTCCATCTTAGTAGTGTTTCAGACAGCCCCGTCATGAACAGTTAAAGTTAGAATACGGAACATTTTAATAAAAAGCTATATTTTCAAATAAAAAATGCCTCTGCGGGGTGTTCAGAGGTGTGCAGAATGAATGTATGGTTTCTCCTTTAAAAGCTATATTAAAAAATATAAATAATCAAATTTTTATTCTGTCGGGCACCACGCTGTGTTTATGTTTACATTGCCCAGCCACTAGAGGGCACCATTGTGCTAAAAAGTCTGCTCAGCTAGGCGAGGCTGGGTTAGGGTTAAGCCAATCAGCTGATTCTGAGCCCAGAAATGTTCATGTTCCGTGTTTTTATATCAAATTCTAACTAATTACATGTTCTATTGAAGGACACCACGAAGCAGGAGAAACGCTAACAGACACAAACATGAGTGTTTTCAGGTGATGGTGATTTAAATATGATAGAGAATGGGAACCTGTGTACCAGGCTTTCCTTCTGCTCCCTTAGGTCCAGGAGGCCCAGGTAAACCCTAGAACCAGAACCAGAGACAGACACATGAAAACCGTCTGTCCTGAAAAACATCGGAATGTTACTGAAACATGATGGATGAACCAGACCAGTCATTGCTTCTGATAACTAAATCTCATTCAACCAGAACATTCATATATATACATATACAACATCTTTAGAAAATATCATGCAAACTAAATTCTAATTTAAAACTGAATTATGTCTCTCTAGTGCACAGGTCCTCAAAATGTGGTGGGGGGCCCTCTGGGGCTCGTGTAGCACCAGGTACGAGGTCTAAAGGCTCTCAGGAAGAGCCCATGGGTGTTTCTCAGTGCCAAGGAACCTCGCCTTGATGTCTTGGCCCCGCCCCGGTTGCCTAGGAGATACGTCATCAGGAGCGTCCAAGACGTGTTCCAATGTTCATGTTCTACCGAAGCGTGTGTTCTCCGTCTGTTAGCCGTTTAGCTAGCTGAGTGAGGATACACGGGAGGTGTCTTGTAGCCTAGCCTTGGTCAAAAATTACCCCGAATACACCGCGGTATTTTCAAAAGGACGACAGATCAGTAGCCAGACTTTAAAAGTAAGTCAGCTAATTTAAAATGTTTTTTTTTTTTTGATCCAAAGAAGTTATCTACGGTTGGTTAGTTGGTTAGTAGTTGCAGCTTCGGTGGCTAGCGGGTAGTAACTCACTTATATATTTAATTTAATAAACATATACACAATTTAAAAAGTAAAAGTCTCGTTATTTATTTATATTGAAACTAATACGTATAAAATATAACATTATCTCCCGTGTCACGTGACGTTACGTCACCGCCATGGAAGCCACGGTCACGTGATGCAAGTCTGTTCCATTTAACCGTTTTCTTTGACCAAGGAAGGACCGTGTCCTCGTAAGCAAGGTGCCTTGACATTGAGCAACACCCCATGTCCTGTCTGTGTTGTACAGCGTGAACTTGTTCTGCTGCACGTCCAAACCACATGCAAACGCCCTTTCTGTTAGAAAAAACTGTTTTATTAGACACGTGTGGTGAAACTGTGACGTAACGAGTCCCACGCATGGTTTTTGTGACTTGGTGTGCTGAAAAAAATACTTTTTTTCTAAACCTGGCAAAAATGTTTATTGACTGCAAAATAAAATCTGAACTGAGTGATGAAAAAAATTAGGATTGATAAGAAATATTAAAACAATTCTATTGAATTTTTTCAATTCAAGTTTATTTATAAAGTGCCAAATCACGACAAGAGTCGTCTCAAGGCACTTCACGCAGTACAAAACAGTTGAGAGAAACTTTAAGTGGAACTTTAATGCGCCACAAACTGTGATGTTCAGCATTTTTGCTTCTCACGTGGACTGAGAGTTTCCTTTTTCCAAACTAAAATAAGAAAAGTAAAAACAAACAGAGCAATGAATTCAGGGTCTAAATGAAAAAACAAGTGCTCATTTTGTCCAAAGCTGTTTCAAAAGAATAAGAATTAAAAACTGACTTAAATAACAAAAAGTAAAATATTGGGGGAAAAGGTATTTAGAAAAAGTCTAAAAAGTACTTTAAAATTTTATAAGAAGTACAAAAATTGTAAAGTATTTATGAAAGGGATAAAAATAGAATAATCATTGATTATATCTTCATTTTATTGGATTTTTTAGTGATGTTTACACTTCATTCCATCATTTCATGGGTTAGAATGAAAAGGGTTTTACTGCTGGATGCCTTTATTTATCTACAATTATTATCTGTATTTGTTTCTATTATCAACACAGACGTGTATGAAGCTTACCGATGGGCCTGGTAACCCAGGGTGACCCCTCTGCCCTGTTGGACCCTGGAAGAAGAAGGAAATGGTCATCGTTTTAAATTCATTGTTTCATTTAAGGAAATTGTGTGACTATGATTTCCAGTATTAGACCTTGTTCCCTCTGGCTCCAGGTTTCCCCGAGCGTCCATCTTGTCCGCTGTTCCCCTTCAAGAAGTCAGAAAACGTGAATCTGATCACGACTTTGATTAGAAAGAATCAATCATTTGTTTGGGACTTTCCCTTTTAGCGAAGTACTAAAAACACAAAATTAAGCATAAAATCAGAACTGAAAAGATAAATTGTCAAAGTTTATGATCCAAGAGTCTTCAGGTAGAAACTCCCAAGCCCGATTTATTCACTACTCTGCATGTTTGTAAACTACAGAGTGAATAAATGAGTTTAAATTTTCATTCATTTTGTTTTTCTGCCTGACAAACTGAAGAAAAACAAATGTAAGCCTCTGCATCTGACCTTTAAACCAGCACGAATCGTCACTGACCTTTGACCCCGGGCTGCCCTCTTTTCCCAACAGGCCTGTTTCACCACTTATACCCTGAGTTAAGAAATACAAACTCAGTCAAGTTCATCTGGACAAATAAGAAGTTTAATAATCACCTTCAAGAAGAGGAAAAAAGACAAAGATGAAGAAAAGGAGGAACCATAAGAGGAAATGACTGTAGAAGAAAGAAGACGAAGGGAGGAGGAAGAAGATGAAAATAAGTTCAACTGTCTTCTGATGGTAATGGAGGAGGAGGAGGAGATAAAAGAGTAGGTTACCCCTAAATCTGTGTTTTTTGCTGATAAACTGTATTACTGAGTGTCTAATAGTGCTGTAGACACGTGTGTGTGTGTGTGTGTGTGGGGGGGGGGGGGGGGGGGGGGTTTAGGACTAACCTAATTCAGCCTAAAACCATATATTTTTTTCTCTCTTTAGGTTAAAACTCTGCTCTAAACTGAATAAATCAAACATAGCTAATGGCTAACCGGTACCCGGTGGTGTTGCCGGTACCGGATTACGTGGCTGCACTGCACTGGGCTGTGGCCGATTGTCGGCCATGCCTCCAGCTGGCTGGGCCACTCACATGCACACACTGCTGATATGGAACAATGTGGCTCAGAGTCGCTTAAAAAACGCCTTCCTCCCTGTCTTCTAGAGAACGAGGTGAGGAGGAAACTCTCCAGTCTGCTGCAGGTTCTCAGTTCGCTCGTCCAACTGAGCAGAGAATCTGTGCGTGCTTGTTAACGGCTCATTTCTCCAGCTGAGATGAAGAAGAGGAGTGAGAAGAACAACAAAAAATGAAGAGAAAAGGAGGAGAAATAAGAGAATAAAGATTATGGCCAAGTAGGAAGAAAAAGATGGTAAGAAATCATTTTTATTTACCAGTGAGAAGGACAGACGAATTATGTTTAATTAACTTTACCTCGGCACCTCTAGGACCTGGGGGACCAGTCGCCCCAGAGAAACCAGTCAGGCCAATGGGGCCCCTCTCCCCCTGAGGACCCCAAATGCCCTTGGTCCCCTGAACGCCCTAAAAGAGAAACAGAACTAATATTTATTTATTCCTACAAAATAAAGGTCAGATTTTAGTTCTACGCAAGCCCCCATAATTCGGGTCTGGATATGAAGCAAAACAGGAAGTGACATAAATTGCAGTTTCACCCTCGTCCACTAGGGGCTGGTGTCAGAAGCGAGCAAATCCTCATTGACTCCCATGTTAAAAATACCAATTTCACAGCAGAAATAAACATGTTTACAGCCTGGTACCAAAACATGTTTTTGGTTTAAATGATCTAGTTTACACTCATGACAACTCTGAGGGGGGTGAATTTTCTTCACCACTCTGCTCTTTAAGTGTGTAACGGAATGAAATGACTGTTTTCCACCTAAAAGTCATTTCCCCCCTCTCCTCAGCAAGAACTAATCTGCATGAGACTGTCTCAAGGTCGTGCATCTGCTTCTAAACTGCTTCCTTTCCAGCTCAAGAGAAGAATGAAGACAAAGGACTCTTTCCTTTTAATAAATCAAAGAACTCTATTTTTAATAAAGCTAATCAAACAAAGTGTTAGTCAATAATAAGATGTTGACCAATCTGTGAAATGACAATGTTATGATTAGCAAGTTTAATGAGTAATATGACTTTAGTCTAGCTGCACTAGACATCCTGATCACACGTAATGTAAACGCATGACACATTGTTTACTCATCCAATCAGAACCTTCCTTTCTGAAGCGTGGCATAGTCTCTGTGGTGTTTATAAATCTGCCAACTTTGATTCGACCGTAAATCAAAACATCCAGATTAATAAAACCAGTCCCACGCCATCTTAGTTCAGTTCACCGCATGCTAAGAGAAGTATCGGACCGGCCACCCGGACCTCCTTTTTAAGCAAAGAACCAACAAGCTGGATAAAATCTGTTGCATTTTACCAACCAAGCAACGGTTCCTTTCAGAATAAAAGCTGAACTCAATGACCCTCCGGGTCCATCTGACGCTGTCAACCAACTGTCGCTTTTTACCTGGAGACAATCCAAAGACTAGTCTGTCGTACTGCTGACATGGTTTCATCGGCTCCAGTACCGGAGGGGGGTCCGAGGACCTGGCATTCTGGATCTGTACGGAGGTCTCATCCTGGAGGGTATGTGTGGAGCGACAACATGGCGTCTTATGTGTTTATGAAACTCCGATCATAGTTTAAGAGCAAAACATCACTTCATCATTCAGACTTGCTTCTCCGGATACGAGAGTTCTGATGACAACATCACTCACACATACACCGTTCATCTCACGTCTCATTCACACCAAGATTCATCCATTCATCACTTAGAGTTTAGAGTTAGTCTTGTTTAAAATTGTTTAGAAATAAATCTTCTTAAACGTTTTAAAGGTGACTCTCTCTTCTCTTATCTCTCTGTTAATACGAAGTGTTACATAATCCCTGCAATAAAAAGTTCCAATCTTCTGGTTAAAATTACCCAAAGATCCATAAGATTGATTTCATATTTACTATGGAATCTCATGTCTTATGGTTTATTGATTAACTAAACTAAACCTTTACAAGTGTATTAAAAGCCTATAATTCTGTATAATTAATGAGCATCTGACCCACGTGACCGCAGAGCTAGCTCCGGGGAAAGGCCTCAGCCTGAGCCTCGGACTCGCCTGAAAACTGTTCGGTCATTTTCAGTCTCTCAACTTAGACCATTAGTTGTAGCATTTGTGCGTTCTTTTTGGATATTTTTTGTGCAATTGTTGGACAAAATGACTTGCTGTGGCATTAATTGTACTAATAGAGCGTCCAATGAGTCTCCACTTCATTTTTTTCGGTAAGTAAAATTATATTTATGTATTTTAGGTCACTGCCGAGCTGAGCTTAGATGTTAACATGTACTGTTTAACCATGAAATTTAAATGTAATAGGGTAAAACCCAGTGCATTTAACATAATGCTGCACTTTAGAAAATGGGGTGAAATATAACATGTTGGTGGAGCTGGGTTCCCACTATCGGTATGGTCCCCTCCCCTCAGCGGCAGCTCTGCACATCTCTGATCGCAGCGGCTCCTGTCTGCTGCGCGGGCTGCCGGCTTGTGGAGCTCTCGGGAGACCTCTGTGTTCCACCCGGTTTTACCCAGCGGTCAGCCCGGCGTATCTCTGACTCAGAAGCTCTGGTGTTGTGCACAGTTAACTCCGGTTGTAGCTAGGTAGCTACCTCTGTTAGCTTAGCTCCCACCTCCGCGTTAGCTTTGGCTTAGCTTGTAGCTACATCGCTTCAGTTCGACGGGTGTCGTCAGTTGATCCCAGCCTTACAGCCCCACCCTCAGCTCCACCTCTCTTCCCTTTTGTGGAATTGTCTGGGCTTCATGGAACCTGTGACACGGTCAAAATGGTGGCGGTGGCCACCTCCCGTTTTGGCCATTGACATATACATATATGGACAATGGGTTTCCATAGGCTCCAATAACACATTTTTGTACTAAAATGGGAGGTGGCCACCACCGCCATTTTGACCGTGTCACAGGTTCCGTCAAGCCCAGACAATTCCACAAACAGGGAAGAGAGGAGGAGCTGAGGGTGGGGCTGTAAGGCTGGGATCAACTGATGACACCCGGTCGAACTAGCTACAAGCTAACCTGAAGCTAACCCAAAGCTAACGCGGAGGTGGGAGCTAAGCTAATGGAGGTAGCAACCTAGCTACAACCGGAGTTAACTGTGCACAACACCAGAGCTTCTGAGTCAGAGATACGCCGGGCTGACCGCTGGGTAAAACCGGGTGGAACACAGAGGTCTCCGAGAGCTCCACAAGCCGATAGTGGGAACCCAGCTCCACCAACATGTTATATTTCAACCCATTTTCTAAAGTGCAGCATCATGTTAAATGCACTGGGTTTTACCCTATTACATTTAAATTTCATGGTTAAACAGTACATGTTAAAATCTAAGCTCAGCTCAGCAGTGACCTAAAATACATAAATATAATTTTACTTACCGAAAAAAATGAAGTGGAGACTCCTTGGACGCTCTATTAGTGCAATTAATGCCACAGCAAGTCATTTTGTCCAACAATTGCACAAATAATATCCAAACAAGAATACACAAACACAGAGACTCAAAATCCCGGAGCAGTTTCCAGGCCAGACCGAGGCTCTACTGAGGCCTTTCCACGGAGCTAGCTCTGTGGTCACGTGGGTCTGATGCTCATTAATTATACAGAATTTTAGGCTTTTAATACACTTAAACAGAAGAGTGAGAAAAAAATTCACCCCCCTCAGAGTTGTCATGAGTGTAAACTAGATCATTTAAACCTAAAACATGTTTTGGTACCAGGCTGTAAACATGTTTATTTCTGCTGTGAAATTGGTATTTTTAACATGGGAGTCAATGAGGATTTACTCGCTTCTGACACCAGCCCCTAGTGGATGAGGGTGGAACTGCAATTCAATTCATTTCCGCGTTTGCTTCAATTTTCACCCGCATTGTGGGGGCTTGGTTTTGGCACAAAAACTTATAATTGGAGCCTATGAACACAAATTGTCCAGTATATATGTCGATGGTCCTACGGTACATTATATTTACCCATTTACCACAAAAAACCAATAAAGTGATCCATCACAACATTATGACAGACAGAAACACAAAAACGCTCTGATGAAGGAAAGAAGAAGGTAAATAATCATCAGAAAACCAAGAACGAGAGATGTTTTCTTTTTTGTGCTAAATAATTCTAAATGATCACCTGTCATATTTCACATTCTCAAGGCACATGTTGCAAAGCTTTCCTACATGTTTATCTGGTAATCGTAGCTCTTCTACACCTAACGGTGTTAAAAGTAAAAAAATGGTTCCTACTTTGTCCCCTTTAGATCCAGGATGGCCCTTGTCCCCGTCTGGTCCTCTGGTGCCCTGAAACAAAAACAACAACATAAAAAGCTGAACTAAAATAATTATGTCAGGGAATCTAATAAAACTACTCACCGTCACTCCTGGAAAACCAACGTGACCTGGTAGTCCCGGTACTCCCTGAAAACACGGAAATTAAATTTGAAAACGGCAATGAGGATTAAAAATGTAAAAACAGGGCTGCCAACTCTCATGCATCGAGTGTGACACACATTTGATCCCCCCCCCCCCCCCACCCCACCACCACCACCACCACACACACACACACCCACTCTCACGCATGGCAAAGTTAAACTGGTCACAGAAATAAAAAAGTGAGCTGCTTTTGCTGTTACAGAAATCTCAATTAATTGGCATTTATGACTAATTTAGAGTATTTTTTCTAAAGATAATTATGAGACTTTTCTCCACTTTGTAATTTTTATGAACCTTTCCATCTATTGTTAAAGATATGTTTTATTTCTGCGACTGTTACATGTAAGGTTTACATTAGTACTCCCATTTTAAAGGCTTTGCTTATGTCCCTTAACTCATTCACTGCCAGCCGTTTCCTAATCGGTAAAGCCATTCGCTGCCAGCTTTTCTCACAGTTTTTTAAAGAGTGACAGAACGTTGCGCGCTAGGATGACGTCGACGCCAAAACAACCAAAACAAAGCGGAGACTCACCTCTTAAATCAGGAAGAATCCGCGCATTTCGAGCGTTATCCGTTCTTTCATAATCCGTTGTTGAATTGTGATCGGCAGAAGCTTTTCCGGTTCGCGCCTCACTTTTTTTACAGCAGCGGCCCAAAACGATCTCCTAACACATGGATGTTCTGCTTCCTGATCACGTGACGTGTGACGTATGCGGATGAAGAGCAGCTTTAGAGCTGGGATGTTTGTTCTCACGGTGCGGGGGCTCGTCCGACGCCCACACAGTAAAAACATGCAAATGACGACTTAAGTCGTCACTGGCAGTGAATGAGTTAATATAGCTGGAACTTCTGAGTCTTCCACTGAAAGCAACGAGAGGCACATTATCTTCCACTGGCTCCAGGAATCCATAGTGTACCTAACCGGGTGTGTTCCATTCAGACATGAGGTAGCTCCTTATCCGTTCTTAATGTGGACAAATTTTTATCAATTGCAATCGGAGACCAGCCACCAGATCCATGGGTTAAAAAATGGTTTTGAAAATTTCAGAAGAAATGCAGAGATTTTTTTCTGGTAAACAAGACAGGGCAAAGAGCCTGGGCTTGATACGATTAGGGCAAGAAATAAAAAAGTGATTGCATTCCTCAGTAGTGACTTACATTGTAGTCATAGCTACAATGGGATGCAGTGACTGGAGCAAGACTGGCATACACTGGCGCCATGGTAAGGCAGGTTAAGTGTTTACCCAAAAGTGCAATGAATGGGGCTCAAACCTGCAACCCTCTGGTTACGAGACGAGCACTTAAATTCTCTGCCACCGGCGCCTGTATCTGAAAATCAAGTCTTTAAGAAACTAAATGTCAAAAGCTTTCCAAACCCTAAAGATCAGACGTAAGCCTGGCTCATCCCTTGAGCTTTTTTTTTTAAATACCTAAATGATTCATACAGTAAAGATCTGTCTTTTTACAACTATTCCTCTGAAAATGGCCCAAGTCAAGGACTTTAATGGAGGAAAAATTAGTCTAAATCAAGGCCAATGAAACAAATAAAACAGGAAGTCTGGAGGGAAGGAAAATCTAAAACATGAGATGAGAACTGGATCATCACATCAGATCAGAACCTAATCATGTTTTACGCAGAAGATTAATTAAAATAACTCACCATGGGACCCTCAAAGCCGGGATCCCCCCGAGGGCCCACGGGCCCCACAGGTCCCTGGCATTGACCAGAATGAATAAACAAATAAATTCATAGTAGAAGAATTTTTCTTTGGTAAATGAAGGTTGATTATTAAATAAAATATATTTATGCTTTTCTGAAACTCACAGGCTCTCCTTTAGGTCCAGCAGCACCCGTCATACCAGCCTGCCCCTGTTGGGATCCACAGACTAGTGTTAACTTCCAGTCTTGTGCAAAGCCAAAAGCTTTCATTTTCTCTTCAGGTGAACCATACTCACCTGGGGCCCTCTATGTCCAGGAGGTCCCATCTGTCCCTCTAAACCTGGAGGTCCCTGGTCAATTAAAAATAAAGTCCACTCATTTACGCCAAACAAAGTCTCCAAAAAGTGGTCTTTATTTAGAACCAGCAGTAATTACCTGAGGGCCCTGAGGACCAACACTGCCAGCTGGCCCCGAGTCCCCCTGGAAGAAACGATCCAAATTTAATACAAAGGATTTTCTGTTTATTTAGGAAAGATTGTGGTAATTAGGTGGACTTTGATACCCTTGAGCCATCCACTCCCTTAGCACCAACATGCCCAGTCACACCTGGAGCACCCTGTAAAATATTAGCATAAAGGCTATATTAGCATGCTTGTTTGTTTATGACACACTTAAATCTTTGTTATTAAACTGTTTCCATACCGGCAGCCCTGGAGGACCGGAGGGGCCATCCAGACCACATTCCCCCTGGTGACAAAGAAAATGTGCACGTGATAAACTTTCATTCATTTCTGAACATTTTTGTTGGCTTAAATTCTCAAAAAACAAATAAAATATGAATTAAACTTGCTGGAATCAATCAATCAATCAATCAATCAAAATTGTATTTATAAAGGGACTTTACAACAACCAGAGATTGTAAAAGGTGCTGTGCAACAATAAAAACCTGAATTTACATAAAAACAGGACAAAAAAAAAACTTTATCGCCCAAGTGAGACCTTTTCTGAAGTGTCAAAGGCCAAACTGAACAAGTAATGCTGTAGTCTGGTTTCAAACAGAGAGAGGTCCTTGATGGAGCACATTTCTAATGGTAGACTGGTCAACACCACTGTCTGTACTTGGGTTGCAGGACCACCAGTAGATGTTGATACGGAGAGCATTAAGCTCTGTTTGGCTGATGAGGGGTCCACAGGTCACACAGATAATGAGGAACAAGACCATGAACAGAAAATACAAACGGTAAACTTTTTAACTGGATTCTGAACTGAACTGGGAGCCAGGGCAAGGTGTACAGTACAGGAGTGATGTGGTAGCATCTGCGGGAGTCGGTGAGGATGTGGGCAGCCGTGTTTTACACAAGCAGTAAACTGATGGAATCAGTATGGAGGGCACTGCACCAACCCACACATGAGCTGATAAAGGTGTGAATGTTTTCCAAGTAATTGTGACTAACAAGGTTTTTTACTGTAGCAAACAGGCCGAGCTGGAAAAAACTGGCCCTCAACACAGCATCCATTTGTCTAGTGGAATACTATCCAATGGAACGCTGAGATTCCCCACTGCATGGCTAAGGTGAGTCACCAGAGGAACAAGGTCAGAGGACGCGTCTGTAGGACTGGAGGAGCCAAACAGGATAAACTCAGTCCTCAACTCATTTAGGGAGGAAAAACTGTGACACAGCCAGAGGTAACGTCATAACGTGCTTGGAAAGAGAGCATGTTTGATGCGTTTCGGGCAACCAGCAAGTAGATTTTCAGGTCATCAGAGTACAAATGACATGAAACAATATGATGAGAAATCACAGAGCCTAAGGGGTGCACATGTATGGAATAATACTGGGACCAACAAGGAACCCTGTGGCACACCAGAGGACAGTTGAACAATAAATTCTAAATTTAGCTATCTGATATATTTATCTACTCTATCCACACCAAATTATCATTTATTTAGCATAAAAAACACAATATTCCTAACTGCTGTAAACTACTGTTGTGTTAAGTAGCAATATCCTTCAGCCACCACAAGGGGTGCTGCAGCTACCGGAAACACCTTCATACAACAACTGATTGATATTTCTGACAGTAAATGTCCTAAATGTCATGGTGTCATTTACTGTTAATGCCCATATAACAATTAAATAAACTATAAAAAACGTGTTTAAATGACTGTTACAGCCCCCTGTATTTGGGCTGATGAGTTTATCTTCCTCTGTTCATCCTGTGAGGTGAACCCCATGATCCAGCTAAATTCCCCCACCAGAGGGCGCCATTATCTGGAAGCCTTTGGCCTGCTGCTGCTCCCCACAGGGCAGCTGGTGTGCATCAGCTGATGAAGAGGTCTGCACAAACAGTTGAAAAGCCAGACTGAGAGGACGCTGAGAGGTGCCGAGGGGGAAGAGCTGCTGCTTTTATGGGTGGAACGAGTTTCCAGAGATCCCTGAGCTGACATCCAGAGCACTCTCCATGTGGTTGGGTTCTACACCCTTGTGCTGGGATCAAAGAGAGTGATGAGCACCACTAAGTTTATTTCATCCCAAAGTTGATTAATAGACTGTCATCACACACCACTCCATTAGTCTCATTGTGGTTTAAAGCTCCTTTGAAAATAATCCTCCGTAGTCTCCTTAAGTTTTAATATTCCTCCTTAGACTCCTTCTGATTTATTGTGTTTTACGCATTTGTCGGTTTCCTTTGTTGGTCCTAGAACCTTTGTATTGATTATAAACAGATACTTGTTGAGTGCCCGCTCATTTTTGGCCTTTAGAGTTCACTGGCTTTGTTTGTGAGTGAGGCCTTGGAAACTTCTGCCACGCCCATCGTGGGTTATCAAACCACCTTAGTAATTTAGCTCCCAGAAGGGTTACATTTCCTTTCCTTTAGTTTGGTTTGAAAAAGACCATTTTCCTCTCTGATGTGGGAATTATTATTTGAGATAGTGGATTAAATCCTCTCGCTTTGTGTCTTGTCATTGCCCCTGCAGGCCTGTTGGAGCATCTCGCCTGTAGGCGCTGAGTCCAGGAGCTCCAAATAAAGTTAAGTTCATAATTTTTAAGACAGACTCATCGTTTTTACATTGCGGGTCTACCACTCCTAGTGAGCCTTGCTCAGGGCCTGTAACAATGACCATCAAAAACTCACAACCATTAAGTGGTAAAACTTTACTTGCCTCCTAATCAAAACCAGTCAAAAGCTTCATTATTACCATTTATCACCAGTTAGACCATCACAAAAGTATTCAGACTCTTTTCTTAAGATCCGTTGCTTCACTCACATCAGGCCCGATAGATCCTTCTGGTCCAGAACCACCTCGAGCTCCCTGGGACCCCTGTAGTGAAGATTAAACATGTCAACATTCTGAGAAATCCTAAATCTAAAACAGGATAATCATGCAGATTACTGCCTGCTGTAGCCAGACTTACTCCTGTCAGTCTAACATTTACTCTAAAATAGAATCAAAGTAAAACTTTGGCCAACAAGTAAAATACCAATCCGGCTCTGTGGGGAATTTAAAGCTCAAATAAACCGGAGTAGGGATTAAGATGGATTCAAAAGGGCATGTTATTTTCGTTTCTTTAAGAAATTTATTACACAAATCCATTTCTGCTGCTCTGACTCTCTGGGTGTTTCTCAGTGTCAAGGTACCTGGCCTTGCGAGGCGATATCTTGCGAGGCCAGGCGCCTTGCTTACGAGGACACGGTCCTTCCTTGGTCAAAGAAAACGGTTAAATGGAACAGACTTGCATCGCGACTTCCACGGCGGTCATGTAACATCACATGACACGGGAGATAACGTTATGTTTTATACGTATTAGTTTCAATATAAATATATAACGAGCCTTTTACTTTTTAAATTGTGTATATGTTTATTAAATTACAAATATAAGCAAGTTGCTACCCGCTAGCCCCAGAAGCTGCAACTACTAAGCTACTAACCAATGTAATAGGTGGTAAATGTAGTGCTTTAAAAGCTTAATATATTACCTTTACTTATGACTAATGAGCTGTGATACACTATATAAATACAGAATATCAACCTGCTTTGTGTTTGGATGTTTAATCAGAAGACTCTAGGATTCCTTGTTTATTCAGGGATTGTAAACACTTCGTCTTGATTCAAGGAAAGAATCAGGTTTAGAAAAGTAAGAATTGAATTTCCAAACGATTAAAACACGACAAGTTAACTAATATTTACTGTGATGGATGGATCTAGGTGGATGGGATTTGATGTATGGTGACTATGTGTGAATATGAGGTTATCAGAACTTTCGTATCTGGAAGAGCTGAGTTCTGGGTGAAAAGGGGAAGAATTTGGTTTGCGTTAAGCTATGGAGTTGATTATTATCAAAAAGTATCCGACGCTATCTGTGTGTCTACTTCACCCTTTCTTGGAGACCCTCTTCATGGATCCGAAGGTCAGAGAGGTCAGATGACCTCTGGCACTGAGGGCTGTAGAGTACCCGTAGCACCGACCCTCCAGTCCAGAGATGTCTGGGGTCACAACAGATGGATGGAACCATTTGCGTCTCGGAGGACTCTTAAGGAGTCGGAACAATTTCAGCTTTGTTCTGCAGGAACCGTTTGCTGTGTTGGCGGTAGGCAGCTTTTAGCAGGGTTTTGGCAGCTTGCCAAAAATGCTCAGGGTTAAAGAGGTGTCGCTCCGGACGGCCGTTCCGAAGCGCGCTCTAGAACTGAACACTGAATCATGGACAGCTGGAATGCGACTACTGAATCACCAGAATGATTCTGTTTTAATATTATCATGTTATGATTTACTAACAAATCAGAATCGGCCATGTAAGAATTTTACCAAGAACCTCAGAAAACACGCCTTCTGGAGGATGCTCTGATCTGGGGTAAAGAAATATCCGTGTGTCATGAGTTTTACTTAACTTAGTTTGTCCTTGTGTCTGAGCGCGGGTGACGATTGCCCTGTCATATCAAACATTACTCATTACTATATATATATATATATATATATATATATATATATATATATATATATATATATATATATAATCATTCAATGTAATAATTCATTTCATACTTTCAGTAATTCAAGCACAGATCAACCAACCCTATTGATTTAAGCACAGATTAATAGAACATTACTATTATCCATATCACATTTGTTGATTTCATTTTATGAAAACGTTGACTTTATTGAGAGTGGGCACTCCAGCGGTGTTATCAAGGAAGGCTTTATTTGGGAACACAGGCTGACAACGTGTTCCTCCTGAAATGTCAACAAGGTTGCAGTATCCTTCTGGGCTTTTAGGAAGATAGAGCGTAAAATCCACCTTGGAGAATAGAATCAGGTCTGCAGATGACCGGTGGCATGTAGGTCAATCTGTAGGTGAAAACTGACCATTTCTGGACATTACACCAACAACAGATAACTTCTTTGGATCTAAAAATAACATTTTAAATTAGCTGACTTATAATTAAACTTAAATTCTCCACGAAGTAGCGGCCGTCGTCTGATCCGCTGTCTTTTTGAAAGTACCGCGGTGTATTGTGGGTAATTTGACCAAGGCTAGGCTACAAGACACCTCGCGTGTATCCTCGCTCAGCTAGCTAAACGGCTAACAAACGGAGAACACGCCTCGGTAGAACATGAACATTGGAACACGTCTTGGCGGCTCCTGATGACGTATCTCCTAGGCAACCGGGGCGGGGCCAAGACATCAAGGCAAGGTTCCTTGGCATTGAGAAACACCCTATAGCTTTACACTCAGTACATTTATAAATAGAATAGAAATTTCCATTTTTGTCCCACAGTAGGGAAATAAAGTGTTTCCGCGTCTATGGAATATGAACCAAATACGTTTGGCCTGTGATATAAGAAAGCATGTTACTGAGGTTAAAGACACTCACTGGCTGTCCAACAAGACCAGCTGCACCCGGTAAACCAGTTTCACCCTAAAAATAAATAAAAAAATCATTATTAGCAAAATCCTGAAGACAATTACAATATGTGATGCTTTAAGGAATAAATCAGTACTCTGTGGAAATGGTTCAAAACGACAGGATATAGTAATGAGAATGAGAAGTTTGTTTAATGAGAAATTAAAATCAGTAGTACAATAAAATAGTACAACAAAAACCATTTGCAGGTTTACAAGCAAACACACAACTTACACAATGCTAAGAATGGGTGCAGGCAGAAGCATAAGCTCAACCCCCAAACCCTTTGAACTTAAGCAAAAATTTAGAATAGCATACCAATTCCATCATTTTTACATCATATTTGAAATGTATGGGAATATATTCAAATCCCCATTCTTGCTTTATAAAAAATAATGACCTTTAATATTTTATGCATTTTTTCATTGACTTGATTCATAATATTTAATCACATTTGATTTAAACAAACCCTTAAACTTTACCATTGTTGAACAATCTTTTTGCTCCTGGTCTAATTTATTCCACACATCAACCCCAACACAAGAAACACAACGTTGTTTCATTTTAGTTCTTACTTTAGGCTTTCTGAACATTTTATACCCTCTGAGATCATGAACACTCTCTGATCTGGAACAGATCCTGAATTTGTTTTGGCATGAAATTATTCATCACTTTATACATAAACTGTGCAGTTCTTAATGTAACTAATTCTCTTAGCTTTAATACTCTTAAATGAATAAAAAGTAAATGTGTATGCTCTCTACAAGCTGCTTGTTTACAAGTCGGATTGCTCTCTTCTGAATTATAAACAAAGGCTTTAAGTGGGTTTCGTAGGTGTTTCCCCACACTTCAACACAATACATGAAATAAGGCAGAATTAAAGAAAAGTACAAAAGATATAAAGCTTTTTCATCTAAAAATTCTTTAACTTTATAGAGAACTGCTAATGATTTAGATAACTTTGCTTTAATTGAGTCAATACGCGGTTTCCAACTTAACTTTTTTTTCTATGGTTACGCCAAGAAATTTTATTTCATTCGCTCTTTCAATTTCTGTATAATTTTGAGATGTGTATCCGCTGTAATTGCTCTATTAGTAAATATGATAAATTTTGTTTTATTTAAATTTAAAGTTAATTTATTTAAGTTAAACCAACACTTTAATGCATTTAATTCTTTCTCAATTTTGTCCATTAATGTTATTAAATCTTTCTCAAAACTTAGAACATTAGTATCATCTGCAAATAGTATGAAGTGCAATGTTTTAGAAACTAAACATATGTCATTAATATAAAGAATAAACAACAAGGGACCCAACACTGACCCCTGTGGGATACCGGTGGTCACTGTCAGTAGCTGTGAATCAGCGTTGTTAATGTGGACATATTGGAGTCTGTTCTCTAAATAACTCTTAATCCAGTCATAGGCCACACCCCTGATGCCATATCTACAAAATTTTTTTATTAATACGTCATGATTGACAGTATCAAAAGCTTTGGTCAGGTCTAAGAACACCCCACAGCATATTGTTTGTTGTCAGTTGCATCAGATATTTTCTCCACTAGATCAACAATTGCCAGAGAAGTTTTCAGATCACGTCTAAAACCATATTGCTGTTCAGAAAGAATATCATGGTGCTCAATAAAGTCATACAATCTTTTATGAAAAATAGTAATAGTAATAACGCTATCAGAGCAAAGAAATGAAATCAAATAAAACCATTTTTATTTTATGCAACAAGAAAGCATAGAAGATATTGTGGGAAAGAATACCTTCTCACCGGGTTCGCCAGTTTCTCCTGTTGGACCCCGGAAGCCAACGAGACCCTGAGAAGGTAAAGATGATTGTTCTGCTCTTTACAAGTTTACACATGGACCCTTTTAAAACATTATTTACATTTTCCTTCTGCCAAAAGGACACAAACATCTTTTTCTTCTTATGACAGAACAGACAAATATCTAGTATAAAAATGATTTTAATTTATACAAAATAAAAATGCAAATTCATTAAATACCCAAATGTGTCTGCTGGTGTTTTACTAACTGGTAACTGGTGGTCATAGAATAAAAAATAACTAAAGTATTAAAATGTTCGAGGAAATAATGAAAGATGAAATACCTAATACCACTTGACTTTTTATGATGTAGACAGAAATGTACTACCTAAAAACACTAGATGGTGCTATTGAGCAGCTAAAAGTCACAAGATCAAGTCCAGTCAGTTTAAAAGGGATTTAGTTCAAAACCTACAAGAATTAGTAATTTTCTACAGAATCTTTTTTATTTTTTTATTTTAGATATTTTTAAATTTAAAGAATTTACAGGTTTTATATTTTCATTTACATAACTCAACAGAATAGTTGATTGCATTTTGAAAATGTCTCCAATAAGCCTCCCATAAATAAGAATTGGTCATCAGCCCGGAGCTGAGCGCTGACGGCAGGACCAACGCAGTTTTTCTGCTTGAGGACTCTGGAGATCCTGCACGTTAATCCCAAAGGTTTAAGGAAATTTTAAAACGCAAACCACCAAACAAAAAGCTCAAACCTTTTATTTTGTTAAACATCAAAGCCATGCTGTATTTAGTCTCACCTCATCACCTTTCTCCCCTTTCGGCCCTCGCTCTCCTCGGTACCCCCATAGGCCCTGAAGCCAAATCAGACATGAGAAGGCATCACGATTAACTGTTCCTTCTCTCAGGCTATGAGCTGTGAACCTACATGTGGTCCAGGAGAACCAGGTGGTCCCGGCTGACCATCTTCCCCATCATCACCATCTCTCCCTGGGGTACCAGTCCGTCCTGGGGGGCCCCTGGAGCCTGGATCCCCCTGTCAGATAAACACGAAAAGTTAAAAGGAATATTTCTGACTCTTCAATTCACGTCTCCGGTGGGAAAGCAGGAGGTTGCTGGTTTAATTCCAGCATCCGAACCATGTTTTTGGGGTAGAAACCAAACCAAATAAGGGGTGTGAGTGTCTGGTGCAACTTGCTTCCATAGACTTCCTCCTGAATGAGCCAGAGGTGTTCCCAGGCCAGAGAAAGCACTAATAATCCCTCCAGCGTGTTCTAAACGTTCCCTGGATCTCCTCCCAGGAGGCAACCTAACCTGATGCTCACACCACATCAGCTGACTGGATGAGGAGGAGCAGCGACTCTCCTCTAGAACTCCTCACCTGTGCCATCTAACTCAAATCAAGCTTTTAAACATTTCCTTAAATCAACAACTCATCCCACTCAGGAGGCGCACCATGTCTCCTGGCATTCCTGGTTGTCCGTGAATCCCCGGATCTCCAGGTGGGCCCTGAGAAATAGGACCATGTAAGTAAATACCTTCACGCGTGTCACTTTCCTAAATCGCTACTGAAGCTCTCGTCTAACCTGCACGCCAGGTTTGCCCATCTCTCCAGGTGGTCCTACAGGTCCTTCTTTAGTCTGCAAGCTCACGAAAAAGAAACACGTCTCAAGTCCACAGGAACTAACAAAACCAGAGGTCTGAAGTAGAGAAACGCTGTTAAATGTCACCGCGTACTTACAGGCCATCCAGCGGAGAGGAGCTGGTAGAAATTAGTTTGCTGCAGACACAAAAACAAAACAGACAAAAGGGAAATCATCATTTTAAATGACTTCATAAGACGTCAGAATCGTTTCAGAACCTTTCTATCGTTTAAAACCTTCGTTATAAATATGTGACAGACCCTCTCGACAAACCGCTAGCAGATTGCTTTGCTGAACATCTCCATCATGTTCTATGTTCTGATACAACTTCAACACACACACCAGAGAACGATAGTCTGAGGTTTTTTTGTAACTGTGGAGACTGGAGGCTGCATGAAGGCCCAGATAAAACTCATTCTGAAGGGAATTAAAGTCAGCACGATTGTTTCTTTGATCGGCATCTCCTCGTCTCTAAACTATTAACTACAGAATCAAATCCACATGCTTCTACTAGTTTATAAATCACTTAATGGCATGAGGCCAAAATAAATGATACTTTAACTCATTCACTGCCATTGACGACTAAAGTCGTCATTTACATGTTTTTACTGTGTGGGCGTCGGACGAGCCCCCGCACCGTGAGAACAAACATCTGAGCTCTAAAGCCGATCTTCATCCTCGTACGTCACTCGTCACGTGATCAGAAAGCAGATCATCCATGTGTTAGGAGATCGTTTTGGGCCGCTGCTGTAAAAAAAGTGAGGCGCGAACCGGAAAAGCTTCTGCCGATCACAATTCAACAACGGATTATGAAAGAACGGATAACGCTCGAAACGCGCGGATTCTTCCTGATGTAAGAGGTGAGTCTCCGCTTTGTTTTGTCATCGACATCATCCTAGCGCGCAACATTCTGTGACTCTTAAAAAAACAGTAAAAACGGTGAAAAACGCTGGCAGCGAAGGGCTTTACCGATCAGGAAACGGCTGGCAGTGAATGAGTTACAACTCATTTGATCTTTGACCTCTGTCTTGTCCAGGATCAGTGCATTTCTCAAACTTCTATCAAATTCTGTTCAAGTCTTCTGCCTCCTTGTGGAAGATCTAAGTACTGCAGGACATATGTGCTGTTGTATTTTATCATTACTATCATCATTACTTTATGGTTACTAAAATTTAATCAATAACTGAATAAATCATTTTATTATCAATCTTTTGGAAACATTTTTTGTTGTTTTTTTAATGAGACTTTAAAGGGTTCTAGAGTTCTTAAAGCACTTCATATGGTTTGATCATCACACCATAAACTGTACCCGGAAAGCCGTCCATTCCTCTGCGGTGTTTTCCCACAAGTAAAACGATGGTAAACCAGGATTTCCTGGAAGTCCTGGCTGTCCCCGCTGTCCTCGTCTTCCTTCATAGCCCATCTCACCCTGTGAACATTATATATTACGGACTCCCCAAGGTGCTGTACAACACACCAGTTATTCACCCATTCACACACACATTCAGACATAAATGGCCCAAACAAATGGACTCATATTCAATATTAAATCATGCAGTAGCAGCATTAGCTGATAAACACAAACACACACACACACACACACACACACACACACACACACACACACTTTAATCAAATTAATAACTCGTAAAATATCATCACAAGGTTTCTGTTACCTTATCCCCTTTAAACCCAGGGTACCCCGGATCACCAGCACATCCCTGTAGTGGATGACATAAAACTCAGAACAAAGAACTTTCCACATAAACAAAATGTTAGACCTTTTCCAATAAAAGTTCTAAAATACTTTCATGAAAATATCTGAAGCTTTATAAAATTTTATTTTTAAAATGTTATTTACTCTAACTTTCACACCAAAAATAAAGGATTGGCCATTTAAATTTTTGCTTTTTTAAAATTGATTTATTGTTCTGAGGGCTAAAATATAATGTAAAAATAAATGAGTAGACAATAATTCTAAAATATTTATATTAAAGGTGCAATATGTAAAAACGAAGAATGACATCCTGTGGTCAAATATGAGTACTGCGGTCTGTTTTCCTTATAAAAAGTCACTTCCTCACTCCCGTTCCATGGGTTTCATAATTGTTACCAGTTACGGATCAGAACCAGAAGATTCTGGACCATGAGTGAAGACGAGGCATACGCAGTAAGTTGATAAGTAGATAATTACACTGAACAAAAATACAACACTTTTGATTTTGCTCCAATTTTTCATGAGCTGAACTCAAACATCTGAAACTTTTTCTACATGCACAAAACACCCATGACTGAAATATTGTTCAGAAATCTGTCTACACGTGTGTTAGTGAGCACTTTTCCTTTGTCAAGATAATCCATCAGTGTCGTGTGGGTGAGCGGTTTGCTGATGTCATCGATGTGGAACGAGTGGCCCATGGTGGCGGTGGGGTACTGGTATGGACAGGCGTAAGTTATGGACAATGAACACCAGTGCATTTTAGTGATGGCACTTTGAATGCACAGAGGTACCATGATGAGATGCTGAGGCCTGTTGTTGTGCCTTCATCCACAACCATCACCTCTATGTTTCAGCATGATAAAGCACGGCTCCATATTGCAAGGATCTGGACACAATTCCTGTAAGTTGAAAACATCCCAGTTCGTGCATGGCCAGCATACTCACCAGCCATGTCACCCATTGAGCATGTTTGGAATGCTCTGGATCGGCGCATACGACAACGTGTTCCAGTTCCCGCCAATGTTCAGCAACTTCACACAGCTACTGAAGAGGAGTGGACCAACAGTCCACAATCAACAACCTGATCAACTCTATGGGACAGAGATGTGTTGCCCTGTGTGAGGCAAACTGTGGCCACACCAAATACTGACTGGTTTTCTGCCCCACCACCCCCCATAAAGCAAAACTGTGCACATGTCAGGGTGTCCTTTTATTGTGGGCAGTTTAAGGCACACCTGTACATTATTCATGCTGTCTAATCAGCCCCTGTGAGGTGGGATGGATTATCTTGGTTAAGGAAAAGTGCTCATTAACAAACATGTAGACAGATTTCAGAACAATATTTGAGTCACGGGTCTTTGGTGTATGAAGACACATTTTCAGATGTTTGAGTTCAGCTCATGAAAAACGGGAGTAAAAAACGAAAGTGTTGCATTTATATTTTTGCTCAGTGTACATTGCCATAACTGGTTTTACAGTAGAGATAACTTACTACACCTATTATGGTAGTAGGCCTCCAGGATTGGGGTAAGTGTGGTTGTACGCAGTCTTGCTGTTATACTTCTGAAGGATTTATTAATGAAGTAAAATGCTATTATTTACTTATTTACACATTTCACTGTAATATTGTTGGTCATTGAAAAAGAAGCTTGAGATATTTTTTTAGAGTGGACTATTTGTGTCTAATTCACTGTTAGCAATATTAGCTCAATGTTAGCCTCTAGCATGCTTCACCCGATATTGTAGTAAAACAAAAATATGCAGTGGCTTCTTAGGGTTACATGAAATAACTTCTGGGTCGCTCCTGTTTACTGGCTTAGGAACGTTACAAAACACTGGAGCGTTTGGCCTGTCTGTGTTAAATTACAAATGCCGGCGCTGCAGCGTTAGCTCGGTGCAAGGTCAGCACCCTCACAGATCGTAAAAAAACGACTGCTTCTCTCTTTGATTATTTTGGAAGGAGAAAAGCTGACAACCCCCCCAGCCAGCTGAGAATGAAATCTGCTTCAATGGAGCCTTCCTTCCAACAAGGTTGAGACATCAGATTATGTGTTTATTTCACTGTAGAATACTTACATAATGTCCCTTTAATGTTTACCTTTTTAAAAATAATGTCCATTTTTTCTTGCTTTAATCATTTGTTAAAACCATATTATTTTAGACATTTACTGAAGGTTGAATTCTTCAGCAGATGCTGCTATGAAGGTAGTTTCCTTTAGACCATACTCACAAAATTATCATCAAACCAATTCTGTCCTTAAAGCGTCCAGATGGAGCATCAGGATTAGTACCTTCATCCCAAACCTGCCATACCTGTTCCCATACATGGCCACTGACCCCTGGTGGAAGATCTACAGGTTGCAAGAGCCAACTTACTTTCTTTTACAAGACGAGTACGATTGCATCATTTTCGATAAATAATAGTCGGACAGAAACTCCAGTTGGAACTATAAGCTATTAAAACCTGAGAACTTGAAAGGCGGGAAACCAAGACCCTTTCTGTCTCTACAGCTGGGCTCAATCCCAATGTTACCGCTGAGAAATGTGGATTTTATGGCAGCGGGACTCCAGATGAGCCTTCCGTCGCTGCCGTCAGCCACCTCTCTGACCAACCTAACTCCTATAAACCGATCACAACTTAAGGTCATGTTCTCATGAAGAACGATGCGTCCTCATGTTTTTACATCTAAAGGGATGAAGACCAACGTGTGCCTGAGCAGAAGAACCAGCCGGATCAGATTCAGATGGCAGCTAATGAAGAACAGCTCAGACGAGCTTTAAAAGCAAACGCACGTCTCGTGTTCTCCTCATTCACAAAGCTCGGCTTCTCTCACGTTTTGGTTCGAGCTGATCCTAAATGTAAAAGCTGAATCAGCCCCGCGATTTAAGGCCTTAAAAATATCTTTTCTTTGCAGTCGGTTTGCAAGTTTCATTGTTTGAAAGACGCAAAAACATGAACAATGACTTACGTCTGGTCCTGGGGGGCCCTTTCTGCCAGCTGGACCTCTCTGGACCCTGTACGTTCTGCCATCTGATCCTAAAACCAGGTTCCCATCTCTGGATCCAGCAGGCACAATCAGAGGGCCTTCTCTGTCTGGTCTTGTGTGTTTGTTCGGTGTGGTCCTGTGATCCAAGTGTGTGGTGGTGGTGGGAATCCAACGAGGTGCAGGTGAGACCGTCCTGGTCTCTACGTCCAGTTCTTCTCTTGGTTTCTCAGAGTCTGTGGATGTTCTTGGACTCGAAGAGGTCTTTGGAGGCAGGGGATGTCCCAGTGAGGGCTTCTTAGGAGCACTCTCTCTGACCAAGTCAATAATATCATCTGTCGGGTTTTTGGGGGAGAGCGATGGAGTCCTAGAATCTACCTTTTTCTCTGTTGTGATGTTCTCCTCCACCTTTTTAGATGGAACCTCTGGTTTGCCCTTCTGGCTTCCCTTAGATCCATGCATGGAAGGTTTCCACTGAGGGTTCACATATCCACCCTGCAGGAGCACAGGATCCAACAGGTCGGTGTCCTCATCGACCACGAAGACGTCTCCACGACCTGCTGAACCTTTGGGCCTGGAAGGTATCGTCCCATCCCCTCGAGAACTCCCTCCTCGCTGGAAGGCATTCTGCAGAGACACAGAGCATGAATTTGGACTTGTTTTCCGACCTTTTGACCGTCTGATGTTCGGAGGCCTGTGGTAGATGTGTGGTGGACTGTCTGACAAAAACCGCCACTTATTCTGTTTTTAATTTCTCTAAAGCCGGAAAAACCAACTTCTGATTAAAGCAACAAACCAGCTATGAAGCAGACACTATAAATCCTACAAACAACCCGCTCTTCTGACTTTTTCACCTCCTCTCCGACTTCAGGCTCATCAGCCTTATTTCATTACTGCTGATTCTGTTTTTTATTTTCTAAACATTTCATCGAGCTGCTTGTAATTTGAATTTTCGTGGTCACACTCCTCATTGGAGCCAAACCAGCGAGAACTTCTAATAAATCTTGGAGTATTTTATGAGCTCGGCCTTTAAATGGATGAATCTGCAGCTTTTTTCTGCTCCTACAGACGTGACAACAACGGAGTTTATTGGTTATCTTAAAAATGTCTTTGGTCTCTCCCCTGGTTAGAGCACGTCCAGAACATGAGGGCGATACTATAAACAACAAAGTCAGGTAATTATAGTTTCTTATGACCTGGTTTTATTAATACAAAGGATGTCCAAATGATTGACCTCTGACCTCTGGCTCGCTGGGACACCCACCCAGCTTTCCTGCTGGAGAAAAATCTCTTTACAGACAGATGGACTCCTAATTGTTTGGAAAGGACCTTTAACCTCTTCCACATTGAAGAGCAGCAATAGTTGTCAGCCTCTTTGCATCCCGTTAACACACGCTCCCGTTAACACACGCTCGAATGCTCCGGAGCATCATCCACCAGCTAAGGAATTACGTTTTGGGATTGTCAGTTTGGTGGAGGGTGCGCTCCCTGGGACTTTTGACCCTAATGGCCATCCATTGGTAAGGTCTCACTCAAACACAAAAATACCAGTGATTCAGGCAAGCCCCGCCCCCATCGCCAGGAAAATACACACCATCGATTTAAGTCTTTATTATAAACAAATACCCGTAAGTTTTAGATTTTTTCCCCTTGTTAAGCCAACATTTCAATAACTAGTCTACCAAGTGGTTGACCTGCTGCTTAAAGAATTCATTGGTTTTATATTTCTTTATTTAGATAAACTTATGCTAATATATTTAAACTATTATTTGTTTGCAATAAAAATCTGTTCTCTGTTTGAGCCACTTTGGAAGCCAGTGTAACGGCCAGCACTAGAACCGGACCAGAAACCAGGTCATCAGCTGCTTCCTTTTCCAAGCTGATCCAATAACAGCCAATCACGCGGAGGTTTACCATCAGCTACGAGCACTGTGCATAAATGGTGACTAAAATCATGGTACACTAAATAGATGCATTTCTAATGAAAACATTTTTAATACTTTACATATTTTAACCAGAATACGTTATAAATAAATGAAGTCTCTGTGTGGCTCTTACACCCAATTCATATGCAGTTTACGTGGTTAAGAGCAATTAGCTAAACATCTGATTCTGTTTGTGTTCCACCCACAACCCAAATGAATTTAGACCCACGTTCAAAACAAACAGCAGTTCCTGCTGAATTGTCAAACCAGGCCTGTTCCTGGGCCGGACTTGTAAACCCTAAAACGTCTCAACATCCATATTTTTGGCATTAGTGGCGCTGTGACAGAGTTCTCTCTGACTAATAAACCCCAACAAGCTGCCATGGAGCACTACGATGGATCTGAAGAATAAAAACCACTAAATTTATGTGTCAGGTCAGGTGAATGCGCTCCTCTTAGGTCTAATGTCATATTTTTAACGTTTTGAGTAACTGAGCCCGACTTCTTCCACCTTGTTACACCAGACAGACATCAGCGAGCTGAGCCAAAGGATTTGGATCCCAGAAAAGAGTCGTACATCCCGTCGTTACCTGCAGCCAAACCAACTGAAACCAACTGAAACACACCAGTGGCCCAAGGGCAGAGGTTCCAACAGGTCAAAATCAAACCGGCGTGAGCAGTTTAGGGATGAAACTCAGTGGACACGGAGGACACTGGTAACATTGAGGTACGCCGCAGCTTTAAGGCTTTACAGGGCGACTGCAGGGGCGTGTCCGGGGGTGGCCTGGGGTAGCACATGCCACCCTTGGAATCTGGCCACCCCACTGAATTCCCATTAAATAGACTTGTCTACAAAAAGCTTGGTAAAAAAAACAAAGCATAACCATTGGTGCCACCAATGCATAAGGAAGTGCACTACCTGGGCCACCCCATTTTAAAAGATCTGGGCACGCCACTGGGCGACTGACAGTTTGCCCACTATTGCACGCTTTAGGTCTCAGTTTATATCCTAAGAATATCTTTAGTATTCCTGCAAAAACATCCAGGGGTTAAAACTTTACACTTTTAAGTATTTAGGTGAGTGTCAGGTTTAAAAAGGTGATGAAAGAAAATGGCAGAAGGTTCTTGAATCTTAAAGGGGCATTATGGAAGTGTGACAGCCAAAACATGTATAGAAATAATAAATGACTTCTTCATACGTTCTCCTGCAATGCCCTGGTCCTGTAGAATGAGCCCTGGCATTTTTACTGTGATTGCCTGTTTTTCTGTAAAATCACAGAAAAAGAGAGATGCTCGGGTCGAGCAGGCTGCTTCATGCGCGTTCACACTCAGGCATCGCCCGTAGCATTTGCTATCCGTAGCTTTAGCAGCAGAGAGTGAGGCAGTGCCACTTTGTCGCTGTTCCTAACGCCTAGTGACAAAGCTAGCTACATTTCTGAGGACCCTTAGCTACTTTCTGTAGAACTTTCTTCTAGATATTTCCTGCAAATTAGCAACAAAATAGCCATTTTCACTCCGAACCGTTCTTTGGTTTGACGTTGTTTCAGCTGTCATCAAGGATATAAATGTTACAGATACTGTGAATGTTACTAGAGTGTAGCTCACCTAGTAAGATGTCTGACTCTCATGCAGAAGACCTGGGTTTGATTCTGGATGTGAACATAGTTTATTTAGAGTTTATTTTTTACATTAATGATATATTTTTTACATTAAGATGCCCAAATTTGTGTTTGAGACTCGCCGAACGGCATTGAATTCACCGATAAAAAAGATGTGGGTTCAACTTTCATTTTGGAACAATTTTTCAAGCAAGGGAAGGGAATGATCTGAGCATGCAGGAGGACTGACCCATCATAAACCTTTGTCGGCTGTGCTGAAGAGAAAGCTACAGAACCACATTATTTAATTAATTAGCTGCGCGTTCTCCTGTCCTCTGTCCTGCGGGCCACACACACACACACACACACACACACACACACACACACACACACACACACACACACACACACACACACACACACACACACACACACACACACACACACACACACACACACACACACACACACACACACACACACACACACACACACACACACACACACACACGCAAGGGACCATCTCAGCTGTTATTTTCGTTAAGGAGTGTGCACGTACAGCATGCGCGTTACGCTTTTGGCCTGAGGGGGCAATCGCGAGCATAAAAATTCTAAAGTCCGTAAAGTCCCTTTAAACTTACCGTAAATCCTCTAATACAGGCCCGGGCCTGTATTAGAGGATTTACGGTAAACTAGGTTTATGTTTGTATTTCATGCAGAAATCATCACAGCAAAGCTCTTTTTTGCGTTTGAACTCTAATCTTAGGTAGGAATGCTGATTGTGATGACCAGTAGGACCACCCATCTTTCAAAGCTGTTGGTTTCTCCTAAACAATCACGATCACACAGCTAAAAATGTTTTTTTTACAAAGTCATCTGCACTGTTTACACCAGTTAATCTCTCATTAACATGAAGCTGAAACATCGAATCTAAAACCAAAATCCTGCAGAAGGATCAATTTTAGGAAAATGATGTCAAACGTGACTCTGACTTCTCATTAAATCTTACATGTATTAAAAACAGCAACAAGAAGGCAGCTTCTTGTAGAGGAGAGCTAAAGTTCTGGCAATTTGGAGATGGAGTTGAAGATGCCATCATCCAGCTTCTTCAACCAACCCACTGTCATCTGGACAAAGCAGGCAGCACTGTGAGGGTCATGTTCTTTGATTTCTCCAGTGCATTTAACACAATCCAGCCTGATGTACTTTGCCAGAAACTCCAGAAGACACAGGTGGGGGCCTCAACTATCGCCTGGATTAAAGACTACCTGACAAACAGACCACAGTTTGTGAGGCAGAAGAACTGCACATCAAACCAGGTGATAAGTAGCATTGGAGCACCACAGGGGACTGTACTCTCACCATTCCTTTTCAACCTGTACACCTCAGACTTCCAGTACAAGTCAGAGACCTGTCATCTACAGAAATACTCAGATGACTCTGCAGTTGTCGGGTGTATCAGAGATGGACAGGAAGCTGAGTACAGAGAGCTGGTGGAGCGCTTTGTGGCATGGTGTGGAAACAATCATCTGACCTTGAACGTGAACAAAACAAAGGAGATGATTTTAGACTTCAGAAGAAACAGGGTGGAGTCAAACACTGTTTCCATCATGGGAGAAGAAGTGGAGGTGGTTGAGGAATACAAATACCTTGGAGTTCACCTGGACAACAGACTGGACTGGAGAAAGAACAGCGAAGCCGTTTACAAGAAGGGACACAGCAGACTGCACTTCTTGAGGACGCTTAGGTCCTTCAGTGTCTGTAGCAAGATGCTGCAGATCTTCTACAAGTCTGTTGTTGAGAGTGTAATCTCTTCAGCCATCGTCTGTTGGGGTAGCAGCATCAGAAGCAGGGACCTGAAAAGGCTCAACAGCCTAATAAAAAAGGCTGGTTCTGTTCTGGGGACGACTGTGGAACCGCTGGAGGAGATGATGCAAAGAAGGATTCTCCAGAGAATCAAGAACATGATGGACAACCCTGAGCATTCTCTTCACAAGACTGTCCGACAACGGAAGAGTGTCTTCAGTCAGAGGCTTCTTCAGTTTGGCTGCAACACTGACCGCTACTGGAGATCCTTCCTGCCAACAGCCATTGTAATATACAA